GATCTATTTAGAGTAATAGCCCTTTTACTAGTTCCGTTTATATACCCGTAATTACAAGGCATTATCTCTCTTTTATATTTACCGGCTCTTTTAGTAATATATTATAGATGCTTTTATTACTTATAAGACTATATTCCTTAATTAGCTCCGTTTATATTAAGACAAGATCCGTATAAATATATATAATAGTTTAATAAATACTCTTATTTATAAGAATATCTTAGTAACTAATCTAGGTCGGCGGTTCGTTCTTTTATCCTCCTTTACGGGCGGAGATCGGTTTATATAGTAGCTTTTTCAAGATTTAATAGCTATTATTTATTATTTTAAAAAGCCTACCTTTTTTATTACCTTTATAGCTAATCCGTAATAGCCAGAGATTATCCAGGAGCTATATGGCTTATAACCTATAAACCGGCCAGATCTAATTACTTACGTATTTTGACTTAAGATTTAAGAGCTTCTTACGGATCTCAAGAATAGCCTTTTTGGACCATATATAGGCCACGTTTATATAATTAAGTACTAGAAATAAGGGCTTCTGTATTTATACTTGCTCTTATTCTTATAAGCGTCCGCAAAGTTTAATATACCTGAGTATATAAACGAGGTCATATATACTAAGCTACCGGATCCGTTATAGGACTCTATAGGCAAGCTTCTAGCCTTAGTTACGGGTAATATATCTCACGGTCCGTATAGGGAGGATTATATACGGGCCCCATATATAGTCCGTAGAGGAGCTCATAGCCCGTTAGTATACTCCAAGAGGTTCCTAAAGGCTTTTACGAACCATACCGTAATTTACGAGAATAACTATCCTAAGTACTACCGCCAGAATAATAGGTAAACGTTTACAGTCCGTAAACCCGGTACTTGGGACTAGCAAGTTATCTGTAATAATTACTGGGTTATTCCGTATAACCTGTATCTTCTCTAGAAATTCCGCTCGTATATTAATATAAAAGTATATACCTTGGTTTAAGTAATTAAGTATATTTATAAGTATATATATAAAGAAGCAGACCATATAATAGTTATAATTATGGCTATAAATAACGAGATTACCCGGTATATATATGCCTATTACATAAGTTCATATAAGGCTATTTAGTAGCTATTTGAATTTCCTATATACCAGGAATTCCCTCCTATTTAGTATCTTGCGGTTTATCTTAAGAGAGAGTAAATAATCTACTTTCCGGATAATATCTCTCCTATAGCCCTAGCTATAAAGACCGCAAATACCCGTTTGACCTTAATAGCTTTCTTTAAATATAATACTATATATAAGGATAGCTAGTAGTACTTATACTCGGAGTTTCCGGCCTACTTTATATAAGTTCTAAAGACTCGTATATAGAAGTACTACTAGTAGGGTAATAATAACCGGATCGGCTATATATATTACTATAGCCCTGTTTCGGGCGAGTAGTACTACTTATGGCTCTTACTTATGGTTATTTGCGGCCCGCGGTCCTTTACGGATCTATATTTAGTTAAGGGCATCTATTACCTAATATATTAGGCTGCCTGTATTACCCGTAGCTTAATAGAAAATAACCAGGAGTAATACTAGTATTTTAATAAGGCTATCTTATTTATACCTATAGGTGGTTTACGGATATTATTCTTGACTAGCCTCTACTAGTAGCTAATTACGGACCCGTTAGTAATCTGGAACTAGTATAAGTACTACTTCTATAATAATCTCTAGTACTAGCTCACCCGTAATAATAGTTTCCTACTTTTACTTCTTAACCCGTACTATGATTATGGCCTCTTCTTACTCGTATATAGGCTTACGGACTAGTAATAGTTACTTATAAACTACGGGCTCCCGTCTTTTGTCTGGGATTAGACTAGTAGGTACTATTTCTTATCTATATTACATATTCTCGAGGACTAGGTATTACTTATGGTTATAATACAAGCCTAGCTTAATCCTAATTAGTAATTATACTTTACGAAGATTATTATGGCTATTAAATCAGATCTGCAAATAGCCTATTTCTATTTATAAGGGCCAGGAAATATAGGTAAGACATTCTTATATAAGGCGCTTTACTATTACTTTTATAGGCAAGGGCGAATAATTCTTTGCATAATATCTACGGGTATTATGGCTCTCTTATTACTAAACGGACATATGTCTTACTCCTAGTTTAAGATTCTAATTAAGCTTTACGAATTATTCGTAAGTTCTATTATAAAGTAGAGTGCCCTTAGATAGATCCTCTAGTCTACGGATCTTATTATCTGGGACGAGATACTAATATAGTACAAGTACTACTTTAAGGTTATTTATTAGCTCTTAGTAGATTTATGGTCTATAGTAAATAATATTCTCTTTAGAGAAGTGCCCGTAATTCTTGGTAAGAACTTTGCCCAGATTCTTCTAGTTATATCATATGATTTACGGGCAGATATTATTACTACATACCTTTAATAATTATTTATTTGGCTATAGCTCAAGTAGCTCCGCTTACGGACTAATATACGGGTTTGCAAGGGCGAGAATAGCCAGGAGTTTATCCGCTAGATTAGTAAATTACCTAATAACCCAGACCCGAATAAAATAGTAGTAATTCCGGACTATATAAACTAGCCAGTATTAATTACGGATCTAATTAGCCATATTTACCCCCCAGATCTTCTCTCCCGGGCCGCTACGGATCCGTTAACCTTCCGCGGGCGATACCTCTTAATTATATTAAATATTATAGTCTCGGAGCTTAATACCTATATCCTTAGACATTTACCAGGCTAATTACAGATATACTAATTAGTAGATTCCCTGGATATAGACGAGTCTTCAGGTAATAACTTATATGAGCTACCCGTAAAGTAGCTATAAAGTATTAATCTCTCTTCCTTGCTACTATCTTAGCTTACTCTTAAGATCGGGGCTCCGGTACTACTTTTACGGAACCTATATTCGTAAGAGGATTTATATAATAGGACCCGGATAGTAGTTATAAGCTTACGGGCATATTATATCAAGGCCCGCTTGCTTGAAAGGGATTTTGACGGCTAGTTACGGGTAATTTCACGGATTAAGCTATCCGCTATAGATACTAGCCTGGGAATTACCTTCTCCCGGAAGCAGTTCCCGGTCCGTTTATACTTTATAATAACTATTAATAAGTTACAAGGTTAGTTCTTTTATACCATTAGTTTAGACCTACGGATGCCCGTATTTACTTACGGGCAGTTTTATATAGGGGTTTCCCGTATATTATCTATAGAAGGCTTAAGTATTTTTCTATTATACGAGAACCTATCTAGAATACTTAATATAACTTATCCTAAGGTCTTAGCTAATTTACTTTAGTACTTTACCTCTTACGGGTGCCTTACGAGTACCGGGTGGCCTTACGGGTTAGTTTGAGGGATTTGGGGGTCCGTAACTATTCGTAACTACCTATAAGTATCCGTATCTGTCCGTAAGTAACTTGCGATTATTATTTCGAATGTTTTAGGGCTTAAACGGACCGAGAATACCATGCTATTAGGTATTAAAAGTATATACCTCTCCCAGATAACTCTTTATAGGATTTATAACTCCTTACTCTACTCACTTTCCTCCTCCTCCTCCCTCTCCCTCTCCTCCTCCTCCTCCTCCTCCTTTCCCCCCTCCTCCGTCTCCGGTACCGAGTAATTCGTCCCCTCCTCCTCCTCTAGTACCTCCGCCTCCTCTTTATAAAGAGCCACTAGCTCCCTATAGAGCTTAGCGAAACGGCGTACCCTCTGAGAGAAAGTAAGTGGGCGGCGGTGGCGAGGGGCGGCGGGGCGGCGGGCTATTTATATATTAGTTATAATCCGTAATAATCTATAGCGGATATATATATATAAAGATAATTTGCCGGGAGTAACCCGGTCACCTATATGACTACCGGGAGTGACCCGGCAAAGCGGACGTAGGTTAGTAGTAGCAGGGGCAGGAGCTAGAGCTAGAGGGAGAGGGGGAGCGGCGGCGGCGCCTATAAGTACCCGTTAGGTTAGTTACGGTCCGTAAAAGATTAGTAAACAGGTATAAAAAGCACTTACGGAAAGAATAACGGGCACCTTTACTACTATAATAGCAGTTAGTATAGCTTCCTCCAAACTAACTAGCCACGACTATATATACCGTCCACACACCCGACCCGCTAGCATAATATGTATACCCGGCGGCATAAACTTGACTAACGAATTAGCCAAGCTTAGCCTCCAGGTTAGCAGGCCGGGCGGGGTTAGTGGTGCGGCCGGGCCGCAAAACAGGCACCCGCAGCGGAGCCAGTAAAGAGAGCGCCGTCATGGCGCGGGTTAGGCGGGCGGGCAGGGCAGGCAGGGCAGGCAGGGGAGGCGCTGGTGCTAGTGCTGGTACTACTACTACTACTGGTGCTACTGCTACTGGTGCTACTACTGTTACTGCTGTTGCTGCTGTTACTACTATTGCTGCTATTGCTGCTGCTACTAGTGGTGGTGGTAGTGGTAGTGGTGGTAGTGCTGCTACTGTAGCTGGGGCTGGGGCTGGTACTACTGCTGTAGCGGGAGCAGATGGGAGAGAAGACATTCTACGGACCGTAAGGAGCGTTACAGGCCAGGGGCAGGCCCGTAGCGGGTATGGGGTTAACTTACGTATGTGTATGTGTGTTTATTAAAGGAAAGAAGCTTTGGAATTCGAAATTAAAACCTACCTTATTTAGCTTACCTAGAAAATTTTTAGCCTTCAAAAAGTGAATTTTCAAAGTGAATTTAAAGTCAGTAAAGCTGATATCCCTTAAATAAGTGCCTGAGGCATCTAATTAATCTCGAATCGAGATCAGGGCAAAATTAAAGCCTGGCGGCCCTACGCAAGCTCCGGGGCCAGTCTTTAATTTTAGCGAAGCGGCCCAGATCTCGTCTACCAATATCAACTTGTGGCGCCATGGAGAACTATGAGGTAAATGGGGTCGAGATTTCTGGCACGGCATCGATGAGGGAGGGGAAGAATTATAAAAGGGGGTAATTGTTATAACTTGACGCAGAGGCTCACCTTGACTTCTGTCTATCGGTCGGATTCCGAATACAACTGGTGGTTCGTAAATTGGATACCTTAATATGTCTGTCATTCGGCTCACGTGTTTCGATAGGTGGAGGGGCCTGCATTGTTTCTTGTCAATAGTGTGCACAACTTTGCCTTGTCCAAGCGACCCAAAGTATCATCGAATATTGTCTATTTGTTATACATCGCATGCATCGCACCACAAGCAAAAAGCTACTTGTACGACACGAAAACGGAGATGAAAGATCGTCACAGGTTGGATACAAGTCCAACCAAACTCAATATCGTTCAACTCCCCTCAAGAAACTCCACATTGTCATACCGGCAACCAAATCCCGCACAACCTCCATCCCGTCCCTTACTTTTCGCATCTCTACCCCTCAACAATCTCCTCCTTCCTCCCCCTCTCCCCCTCCTCTCTCTCCTCCTGTTCCTCCCTCTCACTCCTAAAATCCCTCACCACCCTCTGCTTCCCCTTCTCGCCCACCCCATCCTGAATGCCCCAGCCCTCCTCAATCAACACCCGCTTCCTCTCCGTCTCCTTCTTCTCCTCTCTGATATTCCACAGTCGCCATGTGAGGCCGAAAGCAACAATTACCACGAGGAAGATGGCGACGAAGCCGAACAGGATGCCCATTTGTGTCCGGAGACGGGGGTGCGTGGGAGGGATGGTAGGTTGGTGGTTTGGCATTTTTTTAATTCCTTGGTGGTTCTGTAGAGGGTCAGACAGAGCTTTGTGTTGGGAGAAAGAGGGGATTTACGCTGTATAGCTTTTGATGGATGCGGGAAAGAGATTTCTTCGGTCCGGATCAAGTGAAGTGTGTATGAGCAAACAGGACAGTACAAGTACAATTAGGATACGAAGATAGGACAGGAAGAAAGGGCGTGACGACCATTTATTGCCCCATTCCATGCCCAAGCCCTCTCATTCCTGGCCCTCCCTCACCTTACCTTGGAAAAACGGTAGATCACTCCCCCTCATCACCTTACTCACCCCCTCCATGCAGAACCACTCACAACGAAAATCAGCACGCGATCAACACCGTTTCGCAATAATTGGCGAAATAATAAATGCGATTCGACGAATGATGCAATTTCAGCGCCATGACGTCGACTTGTTGGGGTGTTTCCAGGGTGTGCTGGCGAGGTGGGTGATTGGGCGTGGAACAAGGGCTTGTCACGTGAACCGCGCTCAAGCGAGCCCCTTGATTCGATGACCTTGCGCCAGGCGGCTGGGTCTGGCCGAGTGAAGGCAGGAGAGGGATGAAAGTAAAGCACGAAGTATTTAAGGTGTTTGATGTTCAAGAAAAGAATGGGATATAAGAGCACACTTGGTGCCACCAAGAATCGAACATCTTCATCTCTCCCCATTTGCCCCATGTTAACCTAAACACCACTACTGAACCTCCCCCACCCTTCCTGTCTTGTCTTCTGCTCAGCAACCCAACTCCCAGGACTCTTCCGCCGTCCCCCACTCCCCACGCTCTGCGTCGTCGATATTCTGTTCTGTCCCGGCAATCCAGGCGGTGCAGCTGCCTGGCTTCCAAAACTACTCCGCCAGGTGCTTGCAGCTCCTCTCGTCCGCCCCAGCGCCTCCCTCTCGTGCTCAAGGTCCTCTAGCTCTTTCTCCATTCGCAGGAGTTCTCTTTCGGCTCGGCGGGGTGAGCGAACCTCCTCAGTTGCTGTGGGGAGTTTGTGATGGGTCCCGGTGACATCTACGTTTTGAGGCTGTTCTCTTGTCCCATCACTCTGCTCTTGAGAAGTGGTGGATGGAGGTTGGATGTGTATCTCCGGTGCTGCATGTACTTGATGCATATCGTGCTCTACATTTACCTCTGGAAGCACTTTCTCACTTGGATCGAGAAAGGGGTTCTCAACAACATTCGGAACAGTTGCGTGGAAACTCGGGGGATTGCTTCCTGACGGCTGTTCCTCTCCAAGTTGCATATTTAAAGCGTGGGGTTGGCCTTGGCCTTGAACGGCAGCTGCTTGCACAACACCAGGGCCTACCCAAACTCCCTCATTACCTCTGACTACCGCAGCGGCAGGCGCTGCCACTCCGGCCCCTCCTCCGCCATCATTGTGCGGTGTTCGGACTTGATTCGTATGTCCAATAGCCCATGCAACGCCGTTAAGTAACCGGTTTTCTCTTTTTCGGATGTAGAGTTTGTAGAAGATGAGGAAGAGGGCTGCGATGATTACCGTTGATTCTGAGTCATGTGTTAGAACAAATAGTAGACGAGAGAGAAGGAGTGGGTTCGTAGACAGCAAAGGAAGAGGAAGCGCACCAACGGCAATAATCGCACTCGCAGCCTTGATCGCGGCAGCGTTGCTCTCATTGACAGATGAGATGCCTGAACCCGCTGGGGCGAGGGCAGACGTGATGGGGGCGGAAGGGGGTTGCATCTGCGTTGGCGCCGGGGTAGGGGATGAAATGAGGCCGTTTGCTAGGAGAGGGGTGTTGGATACTGTCGTGGTCGAAGCTGTCGATGTTTGTTTAGGCCCATTGGGAGGCGGACCACCTGAAGGTGGAGCAGAACGGCCATCTGAGGGCATAGATTTGGGTGCTGATTGAAGGGTCGGTGCTGGCGATGTCTGAAACGTTTGTTAAAAATAAATTAAAAAAGGAGGATTGGGATAATCATGGCTTACAGTGGTCGTGAAGGTTGATGTTGAAGTTGTGCTTGTCATGGTCCGCGACGGTGTGGATGAGAAAGTTTTGGCGGATAAGGTCTTGGTGCAATCATCACTATCATCATCGTCGCAGTCGGAATCATCGCGCCTTTCAAATCGCCAGTCCCCATCACGGTCCCTGTCTTGGATAGACATATTTCTGTATTGTCGGACTGCCGCGCTAGATTCTGGGTTGCCAGGGGTAAAATCCAAGAGTCTTAGAATAGAAGTAACGGCGAATTTCCAAAGGATGCAGTAGCTGGAATGGAATGTCACTCGATGCACCTAAGAAGGCGGGAAACAAATGCGGATATAAAGAGCACAAGCTTTTGAGTATGAGGATGATCATCCGGCAGATCGACCATGATCCTTGCGCAGATCGATATCGTGAGGCTAACAGAATACATATTTGGCAGGTGGACATTATGCCTGTCCACAAAAAGAGCAGGTGACAAGGCCATCCCTCATAACTCTGAAGAAACATTGGATCCCAATGAAGAATAGTAGCTGGAAATAGGTATTTGGAAAGACTTGCCAATGTCCTCGGCTTTCGGCTCTCGGAATAAGAAGTCGCTGATACAAGTGGGTCTGTTTGAAACTTTTTTTATGTGGTGAGGCACTGAGGGAGCTGGCCCGGAATTTCAAAGGCCCGTCTAGTGCGTAAACATGTGGTGTCGGATAATTTGAAACGTGGTCGGAGGTCGACAAGCATGGAGTGGTGATCTTTGAAGAAACCTTGTATTTCTGTTGGCGCCTTGGCTGATTCTCATACACGGCCCAAATTTCCGTATGGGGATGCCCGAAGACCCTGGGGATGAGAACGAGAAGACTCATATATGCGCAGAACGGTATACTCGGTAAACTGAAACTCTCACTTCTGCTCCGCGAATACTTCAACCAGGATAACAATTCTTTCTCCCGGAACCTGGCCGTCATCCGCAAGCGCTCTAAGATCCTCCTCTCCCATCTCGCCATCCCATCCATTCTCAACAAGGAAAGCCCTGAATCGCTTGTCTCTCTCCCCAAGATCCTCGCCGGTGAGATTTTCAACGAAGAAATATGTAACAAGTATCCCCACAACACCAACAATAGCAGCAATGATGAACGTCCAGCGCTTTCCGAGATTCGCTTGGATCGGAGTGAAAGCTTGAGTTCCGATAGCCGCACCGGCCTTGCCAACTGCAGCTGAAAGTCCATAGCAAGTGCCTCGGACTGATGTCGCATACGTTTCCGAGGAGATGAGACCAAGCATATCACCTGGTCCGAGATTCCCGGAGCTTTGCATCAGGCCGTAGAAGATGACGAATAATGGAACGATCTTGGTGATCTTGTCGTATGAGAGGCCGATGATCAAGCCGAAGACTAGGTAGCCAGAGAACCCCAACATCATCGTATTCTTACGCCCAAGTCGATCGCAAAGATACGCACCAAGAAAAACACCGGGGAGGGACAGAGCTCCCAAAAGTAAGTTCCATTCTCCTGTTTTGAGGATCACATCTTTTGTAGTCGATGGAATCACAGAGGCGATGATCGTGCCTGAGAAAACACCGTTGGGGAAAGTGACAAAGTCGTAAAGGAACCAAGCACCGCAAGTACCGATGAGTGATTTCCAGTAGTATCTCAAGACGAGTTTGTATGGGACGTCACGTTTAATGGCTCCGCGGCGGTAGAGAACGCTGTTGAGCATGCGAATTCGGAAGTAGAAGACGGAAAGAGGCAGCAGGCAGCCAAGGCCAAAGCACACTCGCCAGACGGTGCTGTAGTGTGACTGATGGCATGCGGAGAAGACTATGAGGAAAATCGATACTGCAAGTGGTGTTCCGAAGGAGAGAGGAAGGTTCGTGACTAGGATAAAAATCGGGCCACGTGACTTGAGGCTATGCTGATTCGCAGCTTCGGAGGCGCTTGTCGAGGAGGCGGGATATTCTCCTAAATACAATTCAGTGCTGTTCAGGGCCGCAGGGCTTCGAGAGTACCTCCGGTACCAAAGCCTACGATTCCACGGGCAACTGTCATCATCCAGAACATTCTGGCATACGTTAGCCTGTGCACCGTTGCCCCTAGAGCTCAGTCTCACCCTTCAACTGTCTTGCCAGAAGATGCTGTGGCCAGGATTCCTCCAATGACTATCATGAGAGTCGTTAAGACAATCGCGAACTTCCGTCCCAAGTAATCGCACGTGAGCCCGACAACCACCTGACCAAAGATCTCTCCCACCAGCAGGGCGTTCGAGACTCGTGTCTTGACATCGGCCGTGTATTGTTTTGGATATTGCTTGGAGAGGATGACGTTCACCATCGTCATGAGATTGTTGAAATATCCGTCAGAGACCAGAGCTGCGCCAGATGCGAACTATCCAAAGTTAGCATCGTTCTGGGCTACCGAAAGCTGGGATCGAGCTTGACTGAAGGTGGAGGGACACACAATCGTGAACTTATCAGAGAGGGATTGCTTCTGCGGAGGTACCTCTTCTGAGGGCGCTTGAGATTCCATGGTCTGGTTTGCTCCATCTTTGACTTCGTCTGATGCCATTCCGAATCTCGATTGTCCTCAGTCGCTTGCGGGCTATAGAGGTTGAAGATCTTTGAGCGGACAAGAGACTGAAGAAATGTCTTATAGATACCTGAGAAGTGAGAGGCGGTAGCGGTATGCAGAGATGGTAGATTGGAAACCTGACGGCGGGGGCCCCGCATCTAGAGACCTCGTCACTGCGAGGAAGGAACACCGGCAAGCAGGCTCGCCCTCATGCTGCGAACTGTCAAGCACGTGGGGACAGTGGAAAGAGCGACTGGCTTATCCTCGAGCAATCTGTCGATCCTCTATCAAAACCCCAGCGATCTAGACCAGAAAAAGAGAGGATCCGATTCCATTGTATGGGGTTCATATCGCAATCCTGGCGGCGGGCCGCTGCCTCTGTTTGCAGAACCACATCGTTGCAGCAAAATCTTGGCGGTCCAAGAGCAGCAAGAGGGCATGTGCGTCCACATGCCCACTTCTGGACGACATGACTGGCTTGTCGAGAGTGGGACAGCGGTGTGCAAAATGTTGGTGAGGGGATGGTTGCGGATTGATGCTCGAACTGGGTTAGGAGTCCCGATGCTTGGCGTGCTGAAAAATGCAGGCCGTTGGCCTTGGAAATTTCCGGGCCCCAGCTACCAAATGCTTGATTTGACCGCCTCGCAAGAAAATTCCTTCATCACGAGCCCAAAGCTCGAAGCTCGAGTTTGTCACAACACCTGCTATGAGATGCATCAAGCAGAAAGTGCACTGGAGGCGCGAAGCGCTTTTAAATGTTGTGACTCGACGGCAACCCAAGTGCTGTAACCGGCACTCCCTACTCTGCCCTCATTCCAGAAAAGAACCATGATCTTCCTGTCTTTCAAAGCCCTCTGCGGGTATAATTTCGAGTCGACCTCTATGTATTTGCAGTTGGGTATAAGGGTTTTGAGATTTCAATTTGGGACAGGCCCTTTTTTTCGTCCCACATAACATTATTGATTCCCACCCTTCTTTATGTTTCATTGGAATCCACCATCCACCTTGAGTTCGGACATCTGCCTCAAGATTGATAATAGTAAGATTGCTCTATATCTACTTTGACCCCTTTGTTAATTTCATATACCTCTAGATTTGAAACTCGTCTTCTAGGTTTAAAATTAAGACAGTTTTCTTAAAAGGCACTTTTGTCTCTATATCTCTAAAGTAGAGGTATATCTTACTTCGAAAATATTCCTTGAATCTGAATTATAGTATCGCTTTTGCTTTGAACTTGACCCTGTCTACTATCTCATATATACATAGTACGCCTTTAGACAAGAATGGCAAGCTTGCTTTCTTTTCGTTATATCCTATATCTTGCTCTTTCTCTTTTAGACAAGAGCTTCCTTTCCTGCTAATTCACATATTCGACTTCACTTCGAGATGATATTTTACTTGCACACTCTTAGATATACAATCCGCTTTATAATAAGAGCAGTTATCCGCTTGCTAGACTCCCTACGTAATTTGCACTTCCTCTTTTATTCCAGAATATTCCTTTGCTTCCAGAGTAAAGGATTGCTTTTACTTCAAGACTGCACTTTCGATCTCTAGTATCGAGACTACCTGCTGGCCTCTTATATGTCTAGATAATGCATTTACTTGATAACAAGAATATCCAGATAGTTCTCTTCTTATCTTTGCTCTTTGCTCTACTATGTTATTCTAGAGCATTCCTTGCGTTTTAGAGCAAAGAAAGAAAATCAAGCTTTCTTTTACTCTCATACAGCACTTCCCCTTCTAGACCACGCTTTGACATACCAACCCTAGAAAAGCGGTCCACCCTTCACATCTCTAAATAATACCTCTAGTTAACCATAACAAAAGTCGACTGCCCCCCTTCCGTTATTTTAATCTCAGGATTGCTTTTACCTCAAGGCTGCACTTTGGCGTCCAACTCTGGAAGATAGGCTCTCTGATGACATCTCTGGACAATATGTTGCTTCTATCTCAAATCCCTGTTTACTCCACGTCTCTTGACAATACCTTCTAGTATATATCAAGAACACACTTTGCCTGACAAGTCCAGAAGAGCAGTTTCTCTTTCATATATCTGGATGATGGCTTTACTTTACTAGCCTCGAAGAGCAGCTCGAACTTCACATCTCTAGACGAAAGGCTCGCATTAAGACGAGAACAGTTAACGGTAGCCCAGTTTTTACGAGGCACTTACCTGATCCCGATATCTTCTGATTGGGCGCTGAGAGCGTGTGTACGGCTCAAATTGGGTGAACTGAAACTTAAAGGCGCGGGGGCCGAGATTTAGGAGAATATCAAAGGATTTCAATTCCTTTCTCATCCGTTCGACTTGCTTACACATCACAAAAGTTGCCACTTGCACCCTCCTCAGGATGTATACCCCCTACGCGTCCCGAACCTCGAAGTACCACAAGCACGAGGCTCTTGCTAGTAAGTTCCACTCCCTTGAACGCGCCTTTCGTTGTCCGATCTCTAACCTCGAACAATCTTCTTGCTTCAAGAAAGATCGACTGACTTGAGGACGTGATAGCATCCAATGGACCATCTGCCTCCTGTTTCACAAGACCTCTGCGCATAGTCAAACAATACCAACATATCTCCACCATTCCTGAATCTACGAACGAACCGAAACCTCGACCCTATCAACTGAATCCCCCAAGACAGCTCGTACCCCAAGGAGATGACGACTTCCCGCCCCTCGAACCACAAACACCTACCAGAAAAGCACGAGAATCAAGGGAACGAATTTTAGCCTCACGTACGCGTAAGTGTGTGGGTGTTGATCTTAAAGTTCTCTCATCTGCGGCTGCACCTACAACGAGCGAGCCACCCCGGGCTGATCACGGGACTATGGAGTTACCCATCGCCGACACCACACCCCGATCGGACGTAAATTCCACATTCACTGCACTCTCCATGAGTGATCTGATCGCCGCTGGGCACATCCGTCCCCTGTGCATTCGCAAAAGGACCACAGACTCCTCCCCCATTGATTCCCTACGCTACGAAACCATCTAAGCACGAAACCTATCAAGCCATGGGTCTCTGTGACCGCGCCGCCGCTCCTAGGCACATCCTCAAGCCTGGCGAGGACTCCTTCGATCCGCTTGAATGGTCTTCTGATCTGCCTTCAACTGCTGCCTCTCCCGATCACTCCCCCGAACCCGTCTCCATCAAGCCGCAACCTCTGACTTACACGACCGTCGGCTCCGTCGTCAATCCGAATGTCGTTCCCCAGTTCAGTGCTCCCAATCGCATTCAGCGGGAAGGCGCAAACCGACGGCCATTGCATACGCTCCTTGGTACCCCTCGGTATGAACCCATGGTCCAGACTCGCGCGGCAGCTGCTTCCCTACCAGCTCTCAATATGGCGAACTCGATGCACTACGCACAACAGATTGCCCGCAGCCCAGTACACATGACAACTTCCTCTACAAGCTCGACCTCGGGTCGCTCTCCTCTACCGACAATCAGCAATATGCCGGGACCGCTTGCTAAACAGGAGGAGCTTGCACTGTTGAGAAACCTCTTGCTGAACGAGTTACAAGAGAGGTCTGGCAATATTCCCGAAGGAACTGGCTCACCCAATGCCTCCAAGAAGCACACGTCGAGCGCTACTCTTCCACTAGGAGGAATTTACACTGTCAAGGAATTCATTGACGATCACAATCGATCCAACTCTGTACCAGGTTCCGTTCAAGGCCTTGAGAAGATGCAGACCTTGCAGCGTCTGGCAAAGTTCGACAATCCAATGCAACAGCTTGCCAAAAATCGCCTGTCATTATTTTCGGTACTCAAATTGGAGAATGCTGGCAACTCAAACGGCTTGACGCCACAGGAGATGTTGCTACAGAGTCACATCGGCATGTCAAACTCGAGTACACCTTCCAACAACACAGGTGAACTTGATCTCGGCTACAAGTTTCCTCCTCCCGGTCTTGCAGCACCCTCGACGACTCAATACAGTCAATCGCTGGCAAGAAATCTGTCTCAATCGACTCCTGCACCTGCTCGACGAGGTTGCCCTGAGCCTCTTACCGCGGGGCCTCCTGGACAACGTCAATACCCAAGCCAACCTTCGACAAGTCACAGTGAGCTGTGGGGCGACTACGGAACACAACCTTATAATAATTACGGCGCTGGCGTTACTGCTTCACCTTGGGGTACTGGCTACAACTACCAACCTCCTGCGCAACCCGAGTTCTTTCCGGCACACGCTGGGAATGTCAAGAGCAAGGTTGTTGATACTATTGACTACACCGCCGCCGCGAAATACTACAGTTCTGGTGGGTACCCGGCCGACATGAACGCATATCACCAGCCGCTCTCCGATGAGAGTGCTCGCCTCATGGAAGAAGGTCCTGTAAATTTGCTTCCGAAGGCAGTAAAGGATGCTCGGCGTGACGCCAAGACCACCAACTTTCTCTTCGAGGGCCAACGGCGTTACACTCAGATGAGCGCACTTGACTACTTCCAGGAGCTCGCCGATCTACAGAACTACGACAACGCCAAGAAGGAGAATCCGTACGGTGTTATTGGCCCCCCTAAGAAGAAGCAGCTTTCATCAGTCGAACCGAAGCCAATCACCGACGAAGAGATCAAGAAGATGCCGATCCCAGAACTCCTCGCTCCTGCTCTCGAATCTACCTGGGGCACTCTGGCTGGCTACAGATCGGTGAACTGCCCTGGCAGCAATAACGAGTTGAGTAAGTTTGTATGCTCCCCGGAATCACTGATCGACCCCGAGGAGGAGGGAAACAGAAGCCTGTTTGGGGAAGATTGGGGAAAGCCAGTCAAGAGATCTGCTGTGGATGCCAACGCGGGCTGGGATACATAAATGAATGCTGGAGCTGGGCATAGATGGATGGTTTCAAATCTCTGTACTCATTAGCTTTCTGCTGATCATGGGCTGGGAAGATAAGGGGGGTTGCATATGCTTGTAGGACTAGCCTCCCACTCACAACTGCGACTATAGCAGGTTCCCTTTGCTGTTTCTTAGAAGAGATAAATAGCACAATTCGAAAATTCGAAAATCCACTCTGCCATGTGGCCCTGGAACAATGTGAGAGGATGTCCCATCCTGAAGTGGTACATTCCAGAAAACTTGAGTGCCTTGGGGCGTTGGCTTAACTTGGGAATTAAGTGTTTCCCCCTGAATACGGTACAACGCATGAAGTCTTGAAGTTGATTCATGATGTGAAATATTCCTCAGCCGCATGCTCATTCGGAAATGGCCCCCACCTTCGGATCCGGCTCGGGCTCCACTGCGGACTTAAGAGGCATCCTTCGCAGGGTCGTCATTGGCCCCAGCTACGACAAGCGAGCGCTGACTGCATGAAGCTTGCAGGCCCACCAATCCCATTGACTTGCCAAGCTTATTCGCCCTTAATTAGCGACAATTTAACTCAGCTTTGCTGCTTACTCCAAGACCCAGACAAAGTCGCCTTTCCCCTTTTCTACTGCCCTCATCCCACCATCCCTCCCTCATTCGCCGTCGTATTCTTTCAACTGTCCTACGTTACTTCGAACAGTATGGAGACCTCTATCATGAGACTCCCAAGCTTCGGTCACAAGAACCCCAAAGTGCCTTTGGAGGCTTATCGGCCTCCCAGCTACTTGGTACCGGCGTTGAAGGAGAGGAAGACGCGAATGAGCAAGCCGAAGACCCGGAGCGGGTGTAAGACATGCAAGTGAGTTGGCCCCCTGACTCAACCCCGCATCCCCTCCTATCTCCGAATATCTTGGTGTAACCTCGAGGAACAGGATAAGGAGAGTGAAGTGTGACGAGGGCAAACCTGAATGTGCAAGATGCTTGAAATTCGGGGTCACCTGTGATGGCTATAATGAACCCAAGAAGGCCAAGACAGAAAAACTCGCTATTGCCCCGAGACGAGAACTAGCCATCAATGAGCAGTCTCTCCCAGCCTTGCAATTACAGCCAGACCTCACGTTCCATCTGCGAGGAAATGCCGAAGACACTCAGTACTTCCGGTTCTTCCGTGATGAGATCGCCTATGATCTCTCTGGAGGATTCTTCGATGAGCCGATTTGGAACCAGATGATTCTCCAGTCATGTCACGAAGCACCGTGCATCCAGAAGATAGCCCTGTCAATTGCGGGGCTAGCGAGGGCCCTGAAAGCAAACGATTTCAAGGAAGAAAGAGACCCGCATGTAGAGTACGCTTTGCAGGCGTATGAGAAGTCCCTACAGCACTTCCGTGTTTTCGTCGCTTCGAACGGCTCACACGATCCGCGAATGCTGCTCATGGCTGGACTATTGATCTACTGTTTTGAATGTCTGCAAGGAAACATGGAGAACGCCATTCAGCAGATCAAATCGATGATGTCCGTTTTCAAAAGCATGCGCCAAATGAAACAACTCAACTACGACCATCTCCGCCGCAAAGGGTCTTTCGAGGACGAACTGGTGTCCGAAATCGCTCGCTTGGACGGGCAACTCCTCGGGCGTGTCTACGACCCAGACATCGGCAACACGACGATCATCGGCATCAAGCACGGGCACGTCTGGGACCCCTTCACGATCCCCGAAGTATTCACGGATATCCGCACCGCGCGGCGTTTCCTCGAGCACATCCAGCACCTCAGCCGGCCCGACGTCGTGCACGACGAGAAGGCGCAGCCCCTCCCCGTCCCCACCCAAGGCCCCGATACCTCGCGCGGCGAAGAACACATCCGCATCATGCGCGCGTGTCTTGCAAACTGGTGGTCTAGCTTCAAACCGATTTATGACTTCACATGCACCCCGGAAGGAGACGACAATTTTGTGCCTGCAGCGACGCTGAGGATTATAGCACTGGCGACGAGTCTGATTCTGCAGACGAATATGACGATGGATTCACGGCAGGCGACGGAGAACTGGGCGGATGAGGCCCTGCTGTCGATGGAGAGGGGGTCGGATCTATTTGGGAGTACGGCGAGGGAGATATTGGATTTGTCACGGAAGGTTGTGGGACATCGGAGGTTTGTGAAGGGGTTTGTGTTTGCGACGGGGATTATGAGCCCGTTGTGGATAGTGCTGATTACGGCGTACAAGAGGGAGCTTGTGGTTGATATTGTGGAGCTTTTCAAGGAGATGGTTCCTAGGAGAGAGGGGTACTGGAACAGTGTTCCGCTGCTTGAGACAGCGAAGGAGGTGCTCGCGAAGCGGGATGCGGAGGGGTGGTGATATGATGGCTCATGATCTGAAGGCTTGAATTGATGGAATGAAGATTTTGCCGATGTACGAATGAGGAGGTGGTCAATGTGATCACTTAGAAGTCCAAAGGGGGCTCGGACTCTCGGAGCAGGAAACGACGTCTCAATTCTCCAGAATATCTGCGCTCCAACACAGCGAATTTCGCAAACCCAGAATAAAATACATGAAAGTTATGCTATCTTTGATATTCTTCTGCCTTTTGACTGAAAATTCCTACACAGCTTGAGACCGAATGCAGCAAAATGTACTTCAGATTACCTGGTCACGTGTTGTCCAATATTTCCGCCGGAAAGAGCAATGCGGCGTAGCAATCTTACCAATGTTGCTGAGTCTCCCTTCAGTGACCTCTCAACCTCATATCTCTCCCTGACAATTCTGCAACTCTTGCTGGTATGATACAAATGAAAGCTTTCCCTAAATCTTGTTGCTCATATACTAAGCTATGACTCGGCTATTTCCCCTGCATAAAACTACGGACTCGCTTCGACCAATTGAGACCAAAATGGGTAGCAGACCCCTCCCCAAAGACAAGGAAGGTGTTAGCACGTGAGCTAGACGCAACTGCTATGATCGCAGCTTCTCCTACAAATTTCTCGTTCCGAAGAGCAAGGCGAGAGACGAGACGAGAAGTGACTCTCCAACTCCAACTCCAACGCCTATCCTTTCTGAAGGAGAAGGAGATGTCAACCCCGATTCCACGACATCAGCGAGCACGGGACTGGCGCTACCTCCGCAACCCCCATCACCGTATAATCTGAATTCAGTGGATCTCTAACGCATATAGCATTTGATGAACAATATAGCGAGTTTGGGAGCGAGTGGTGGGAACAAGATGTATGCTTGGGGGATGAGCATGCTTGCGTAACACACCCTTCCCGTTAAGGGGAGGAAGTTAGGGGGGAAATAAGGGGGTGGGGATGTTGGAGGGATGTTGAGGGAGGCGGTTAGGTTAATTGGGCTGTGTGTTGAGGTTGCGGATTGATGTGGAGAGGGAAACTGAGAAATGAGGATGAGATAAATTTGGCAAGCAGAGGATGAGAGGAGTCCCTTGAATTTAGGCTGTAGGGGAAGCGTGGAGATTGTTCAAGCCAGCACCAGTGCAGCAGTTCACCGTTCAGGATCGACTCAAACACCGAGAACAAGGACTGCGAAGCAGCGATATCAGTAGAGAGAGAGACTAGAGAAATAGGGTCTCAACATACAGTTGGTTCAGTCACGTCCTCAGATGGTTAGCGAGAGCGGGGCCTGGAGTGCTCTAGATCTTGGTGCGCCCCCAAGTCGAGCTGGTGTGCATTGCTCACTAATATCGAAATTGAATAATCAAATCGCCTTATTAATCAATTCGACTAGCTTGACCAATCATACAGTCCGTTCACCAGGTTTTCTACTAATTCCTAATCGAGTAATTATGAAGCTAGATTTTTGGTAGTTACTACTCGCTAGTACTCCCCTTTTTAGTGAAGTAAAAATCATTTTCTATACCTCTATATTTATACTTCCTAATAAGACAATTCTGAGGCTTTCCCACCTAAGGTCCCCTTAAACGCGGGGATTATCATGATTATAAAGAAAATGTAAATGTTTCTGACCTATTCACACTTTACTCCTAAAACACCATGAATTATCGATAGGAATAGCATAGACCGTGAGAGCTATAGCACATTCCTTGAGGTAATATTAATTATCAGAGACTCCATTGGGTCCGATAAGCTTCATCGTAGGTTCCCAGTACATTAGGATTAGTAGGAGCCTTGAAAAATCAAGGTTTTTGCGACCTTCGTGCATCGTAAGCAGCTCCGCACTAGTCCTTAGGAGATGCCTCCGTAATTATTACTAATCCTTATTAACAGTGGCGTAAAGGCAATATAGAAGGAGTGCGGGGCATATAGTATTAGAGGGCGTAAGTGCTATGGTTCGTTGGAAGGGACGGGATATCTGATGATCCCCCTCCTTTGGAAGAACTTTTCACTGGGCGTAGTTTTGCATGCAGGAACGAAAGCGTGTTCAAAGCGCGCGCAAAACATGCCAGTTAGTGGGATCCTATTGAGAAGACGAAAATATGTCCTCAATTAGGAGTTAATATAAATGATTAGTCCAAACCATATTATTGACCAAAGGGCGATTAAGGCCATTTGATGGGTCAATTTCGATATTGGTGAGCAATGCACACCAGAGCTAACATCGCTGGATGGAGAGAGATCCGGTTAGCGACCCCTTTACGCTATTTCCTCAAACATCCGGTGATGTTTTACAAAGCTGACGTCCAAATAAAGATATTGGCTCTTGACCGATCTAACTGCCAAGCAGGAGTTAGGAGAATCGATTGAAAGGCTGACAAGTTCAAAGACTAAGGTGGCATGGCATGCAGATCTAGAGTGGAACACAGCAACCCACACTTGGCAGTTTCTACCCAAGTCTCAGTCGGTACTGCCACTTTTAGGGTACCAAAGAAGTTTGTCGATCGTCGCAAACCCTAGGTCTCAACAATTGAGTGACCTTCGGCTGCCAAGGTCACTTGCCGATCCTGCTGGCCAAGATTCATATTCTTTCTTTCCCCTCCCTCCTATTGCCACAAGATCACGGACTCTTTCTATAAAGTGGACCTAACTCAGCCCAGACCTTTATACGGACGAACGGTGAGGCAGAGTCCGTGGTCCTCCCCACACACCTCCGTTGCTAAAGGATGGCCAATCCACTCAATAGTTTGCTTATCTTGGGCGGAGGACGCGAGGCGGCAAGAGGAGCCTCCCCACAAGAAACTACAGACATATTGAAGACTCAACGTTGAGTTGTATTCAATTTGATCATGCTCGGCTGTATCGATACCAGAATTTCATTGTTTCTAGATCTGGACAAATATTTACATTGTCCCAATCTCCAATCGTACATGTAGAATGAAGTTCACCTCTTTATTTCTTGTTGCCAGCTAGCTGCGCTTACCATTTCTTGCCCTGGTCAAGAAGCAGCCATGGAAATTCCCAAAACCAAGCCCGCACCACAAGAAACCAGGGTTCCCTACTCCACCTGATGCATCGCCCCCAACCGTACAACTCGCCCACCCCACCTCCGCTCAGAAGCATGTTCAAACTCTCGGAAACAGCACCTTCTGGCGAGGAGCTCTTTCTTAAGAAACTTACCTCTGTCGCGAAGAACATTAAGCAAATCAAACCCTTACTGGCCATTGTCGTCCTAGGCGGCAAACCTAAAGACACCATTTCACAATAGATTCAAAAGCACTGTGCCCCTGCCCGGCCGACCCCTGCAGACCCCCCTATTCAGCTCGCGTAACATTCCCAAACCAGGATCGTCTGCCCAAATAGTAATTTTCGTGTACAACTAGAGACTAACTCTCTTTTATATATATGCTAGTACCCTCCCAGGGCAGCCCTAGAAGAGTGCTTATATCATTGAGAATTTAATTCCCTGCTAGCCCCTTCCCCCTCTCTTAAGAAGGCCAGTTTTATAATTTTGTCGTGAAATAAGGCTTTCTTTCCGGCTATGTTTCAGCCCCTAACGCGCGCACATAAGAGTTGCAAGAAGCACATCCATCCCCTTTACCCTTATAATCGCTTATGAGGGAACTCGGAAGCGCATTGAGGACATACCAGGCCAAGGGAACCACCATGGAAAGCCTCTTCTTCATCGTCGGGTCCGATATAGGCAAGACATTCTACGCCTGGCGCGGCTGGGGAACATTCCCATCATCAAATATTTGCCTCCCTCCAGCATCTGCACATTGCCGACTCTAGTGTCTTCCAACCTGTCCAAAGCTAAATTATTATACGCTTCGGACCTCGAATTATTATGTGATGCAGACAAAAAGGGCTCGCAGAAGGCTCTTTTCACTCACCCGGCATCCTCTCCACCAGCCATCTCTCTTCTCCCAGATTTTCAAACGATCTCGTGCTACCACGCTCGCGAAAACTTTATCGGCACCAAACTGCACGGCAAAACCGCCAAAAGTCAAGCGGTATATCTCCAACAGAGAATCCAGCAGAGACCACACCCTACACATTCTGCGCCTTGTAGTCGAGGACGCGGATGCAGTACATGAGCTGCTCCCTCAGATGAATGGTACCGCGATGGACGACTCCAATGAGAGCGGCTCCTATGATGGCTCCTCCAGTGAGGATGGCTCTCGTGAGAACGGGACGCACGCATGGCCGACCAGGGAACAGATGGATGTGAAGTCTATTGAGGCGTCGTTGCGGGCGGCGTAGGTGCACGTGGACCCTGGAAGATGGAGAGTGTGGAGTTTTGGAACCCGACGCCTGAGACGGTGGAGGCGGAGGTCCTAGATCAAAACAAGGAAGTATTTCGAGCATGAGGTGGTTCAGATCAGAGGAGGATACGGCGTCGGCGAAAATCGAATGGTTCCGGACTGAAAAGCATGCGTGGTGCTGATTGAAGCCGGACAGGCTGTGATGACCTTTATATAAAGAGGTTGATTTAGGGGTTAAGGGGCTATAATTACTTATAGATATACCCTACCTAAAATAGTTAGAGGGACAGTGCAAGCAATAAGTTCAAACCGAGACTCCTTACTTTTATTCCTAGACTATACGTGTAAGGCCTTGTTCTCAAGGGCAAGATGCTGCCTCTAATCCGAGATAACGCCTGCCTAATGATTTGTTGCGGCCATTGGGTAAACCTCCTGAATTAGCCAAAGCAAAGTCGCATTTTCAAAGGATGAGCCTTGGTCGTGTGCTTCTTATCCACGACCTGGCCCCACCACACGTTCTCGAAACCCTTCGTGTCCTGCTCAGCCCATACTTCTTCGAGCAGAGGTATTGTGCTGCGGAACATGTGATATCTAGTCCTCTCGTCCCAAATAGAGCAGAATTTTACAATCTCCGATTGCGTTGATGGATCTCGCAACTCGCAGCCTGCAAAGAAAAGCGGCAACAAGGCCTGCCTAGACATCATGTTCGCGTCGCGACACGACACTACGTGGTCCACAATGACCCTTGCGCGGTACAGGATACGCGTCGGGACGCTGCTTCCAGGTTCCCACTGAAAGACCCTGAATATGTAAAGAAGAAGGCCGTTTCTCCATGCTTCAGAGCAATGCATGATATCCTGATCTTGGTGCATGCAGTCTTCGTCTCGGAAAGCTGTCGCAGCGGGAATGTGACGCCAGCACTCAAGCCACTGCTCAATTTCCGAGATGATAGTGTTGTCGAATGCGAAATCCAGCGTTAAGGACGATTTTTGCCTCTCTGCGCTGAAGCGCGCCACCTGCATTACAATCTTTGCGAGACTCGTTGGACACCCGCATAATCCAAAAAAATCCCACTCCCGTTTATGTTGGTTCGACAGTACGGCATCGAAGTATGCGTAAGGGAACACACAGTCTTCCCTAGACAGGAGACTGGTTATAGCGTCCCACCTGGCAAGTTAGCTAGAACTCAGAGACGATTAGAAAGTCGGCTTTTACGTACCAAGTGAGTATTCCTATTTGAGCCTCGACCCGAGAGGACATGGCTAATGTTTTGATACCACCGCAAGCTTCAATGAGACCATATGCTCCCACGAGATGTGTGCTCCAATTTCCGAGGATAGATTGAGTTTCCTAGTATCCACTATCAGTCTGGACTTAGTCCTAGGCACAAGGAGGTTTGACTTACATCTAGCGAGAACAGAATTACGATCGTGTCAAGCACGGAATACATAGTTTCCGCATCACTGAATGCGTTGAGACTCTGACGAAGCAGTTGGAGTGCTGTATGGCGATGACTCAGGGTTGAGGTACTGTTGATGTGATGACCCGCTAAAGCCATCACAGCGTGGACTAGGAAGGTCGGTTCCGGGTCGACGTCTGTGCGGTATCGAAACGGGTTTATCTGTAGCTGGAACGTTAATGGGATCGTGCAAAACTCAATATTGTCTAAAAGTTGTTAGTCAGAGTTGGGAAGAGCGAATGTGTACATAAAATGCATACATCTGTTGAGTATCGGCCTGAACCGTTGAGTAAGGCTACTGTACTCTATAGTCGGTGGTACAGATGTGAAAAGAGGTAATGGAATGTTGGTCAACGCCGAAACCGCTGCGGCATTTGGCCCTGAACCAGCAACATTACGCTCACCGGTCGTGGCCTCTGGTAAGCGGAAGGATGTCGATTGGTCTTCGCTGTTGCACGAGTTCAGGTGAGGTTCGTTCGTACCGTCGATTGTCTCTAGATCAGGAAATCCTTCGCTTCTAGTCGAAGATTCGTCATTCAAGGTCTCGAGTGACGGGTCAATGGGAGGTTCATTTTCCTCAACAGCTCCACTTTGGAAGGGGGCTATGTGTGTGTCTACTATGATAGAATCCTCCCTCGAAGGGTTAGAAAAAAACCCTGAATGGGTAAAGGTGTTGACTGATGGGGAACGTCTTGCACGATGCTCTCTCTGGGGATGCTCCTCGACGAACTCGAATCCCTGTTGTCTGGTCCTGCGTGGTGCTGGCCTTTTCGCGGGCTTCCTTAACAGGGAAAATCCCGGCTGCCACGATAGCTGCTTTTCAGGCATCACTTAGGTGTTAGATACCCGATGTATCACAATGTTCGGATTGAGGCTGTCGATGTGGAAGATAGAGAAAAGTATGGCTGGGTGTTAGTGAACCACGCGCTTACCAGCACTAACTCGGCTCAAAGATTAAATTTAAATTTTCCCCAGCATTGACGGGCCGTGGCGGGCCTTGGCATTCCAGTAACTAGTTTTGGCTTCCTGCCTAATCCGTCCAATTACTGTTTTGGTCGCCCCCACTAAGAGACTAGGCCAGTCATTGGCTGTCGGTGGATCGCTGCACGTGATTTAAATAACCCATCCCCAATTGGAATCATGAAGTATCTTTTACCTCCGCCATTCGTTTATGTAGTATATTATTTGTATCGTCTTGAATAGTTCTTGGGAGACCGCATAGCAGTTTCCATACTTCTTTCCCAACCTTTTCTCCTCACTAGTTGAGCTCTGCCATGGCTTCCGCCGTCGCAACGGCCGCCAATGTGTCATTCTCAGGGAGTTCGCGCCGAGAGGAACGAATGACAATAGATGCCTCTACAGATCGCTTTAAAAACGTACTTGTTGTGATGGACGACTTCAAGAAAACCGATCACTCAGCTCCATACTCCTCTAATGAAGTTGGTACGCGCGCCTGCAAGCTATTAAACTAGCTTCGACTAATTGTGCAACACAGATGTTATGGTTGTTACCTGGGATGGACCAGACGACCCACAAGATCCATTTAATTGGTCTGTACAGAAGAAATGGTGGACAGTTGGACTTGGTCTTCTCGCGAGCTTCATCTGTTCTGTGAACGGCACTATCCTCTCGGTTGCTCACAAGTCAATTTCTGAGGAATTCGGGGTTTCTGATGAGCCGTTCCCTAATTCCTATTGGGTCACCACGTCCTGGGGAGTAGGAGCCGCAATTTTCCCTCTTATCCTGTTTCCTCTTATAGAGGACTGGGGAGTTCGACCCGTGGTTCTCAGTACCTATTTCTGCTTCATGTGCCTTCTCATTCCAATTGGTCTGGCCCAAAACTTCGCAACACTCGTCGCGGTTCGGTTCTTTTCCGGCGGTTGCGTTCCACTCATGAGCGATGCCGTCGCCAGCATCACATCGAATGTGTTCCACGGAGATCGAGCCAGGAGTGTACCAGTATGTCTTTACGTTGTGGTATATCTTGGCGCAACAAGTTTAGGTCCAGTGATCGGTGCCTCAATACTTCAGTTTCTGGATTGGCGTTGGATTGGATATATCGAATTGATTTTCACTGCCGCCATTTCCCCCATACTTTTCCTCGGTCTCCACGAAACTCGCGGTTTGGCTATCCTGCGAGCAAATGCCAAACGAATGCGCAAAGAGGGAAAGAAGGCATACACTGCGGAAGAGTCTCATGGTAAAACTTTGCACCAGGTCTTTGTTAAGAGCGTGCAACGACCAATCTGTATGTTCTTCACGGAGTCGGTGGTCTTTGTCGCTACCATTTGGGCTGCCTTCAGCCTTGGAACCGTTTACCTATTCACTCAGTCTGTCGAAGAGGTATATGGACAACTTTACGGTTGGAATGCTGTTCAAGCGGGATACATCCAAAGTGCTATTGTCATCGGCGAGATCCTCGGAGCCGGCCTTTCCCTCTCCACCAACCACTGGTATCACGCTTCTGCTGCTCGAAATACCGAAGTTCCAGGTACCCCTATCCCTGAGGCTCGGCTCTACCCAGCCATTGTTGGAGGATTTTTCGGCGTTACGGGCGGAATGTTCGTGTATGGTTGGGCCGCATACCCTGACATAAACTGGATGGTAGTCACCGTCGGCTTGACTATGGTGGGGTTTGGAACTACCGCTGTCGTGATTAGCATTGCAAACTATCTCATCGATGCATACAGCAAGTACGCCGCGAGCGCTCTTGCGGCTGTTGGTTTGGTCGAGAACGCATCCATTGCTTTTCTTCCTCTTGCTGCATCAGCCATGTACACCAACCTCGGATTTCACTGGGCTAGCACACTTCTCGGATTCGTGTCTTTAATGCTCGTTGCTACTCCCTTCTTAGTCATCAAATGGGGCAAAGAGATCAGAGCTCACAGTCCATTCATGAAAGACGCCATTATAGTCCGGCAAAGAGATTTGGGCGTTATTGTCGGTGTGTGATGGCGACCAGCTGCACTTCTAATGGTTATAAGAATCGCTTTCGATAGCACTGTATTAGTATCACCTTCTACATGGTGTGGCACCTCTCTATGCCGAATATTAATAGATAATAGATTTTCTTGCGTCTCAGTTTAGTGCTTGCCAATATCCAGTTCTTTCGAGTCCGACATCAGTACGCTAACCATCCTTAAGTCACACTAAATGAGGTCTGGCAGAGGCTGCTCGAAGAATGGATTTAAGATGTGAATCCAAGCATATGTAAAGGACAACCGCTCAGCATCATTCTAGATCTAAACTGTGGTTGGCAAGCTCTTCCGGTCTCCTGAATGTCAACAATTCTAAATCACCACAGATACTAAAGCACGAAGTATGCAGTTTGAAACATTACTTGGTGCGCTCAACAACACAGTCTGCTCTGTGAGCATGCATGAGGTACTTCGGCTGGGATATCTAGACGTATGTTAGACTGCCTTCCAGATAGAAGAAGGTTAAGGGCTGTACAACCCCTTTTCCAAGCTTCTCCACTATATATCAAGGGCACTACGAACCCGGCATTATGTTTGCTGTGCCTTTGGAACGACCTCGCTATCTAGGGCCCATTAACAATCTGCGGCCCAAGTATGGCCTTGGCGCGCGTAGTTGGGTGCTTGACTGACTTGCGTTCACTCGCTCGATGCTGAGACAAGTTAGTCACAAGATCATCTACTTCAATAGCACATTGTGCACTATGCAGAACCGGCAGAGTGGATTTTCTTGCACCGAGACGTTCATATATCAGTAACATCCAACATACTGACTCTTCTAGATATCTATTATACCATAACTCCATCGGAAATTTCATTGGATCTATGTCTAGATTTTTTTTCACACAATGAATTGCACTACCTCACGCCATCCCATTTCATATTGCACCGTTCATATTTATTTTCTCTGGTACTGATCCATTCAAACCATTGCTCATTGATCATGACAGCGACGATTATCTTGCATAGTTAATCAACGGGTTGTACAACAGAGAGACCACCGCCTAGCGGCGGGAAACTGCCCATTTGAAGACTTCCGGACCAAGGTAATCGCTCAGCGGCCGTATCCAATCAACCAGGCCGCCTGCGTGGCAGATGGAATCGACACGGTCGGCCAGATGGTGAAACTCTTCCTCTCTCAGTCCGAGCGGGGCTTTGATGCGTCGCCAATCACCGCACTGAGCAGCGGAGCAAAGGAGGGCTTCCAGAGGTCGTAGCTAGCTAGGGTTGCTTCCAGCCGTTCGCCGTGGTCAGCCTCCCTGGCACCTACAAGACAATAGGTGACAATGCCTCGCTCGAAGAACTCGTAGAGGATAAAAGCGCTCACGAAGCCCGTGGCACCCATCGGGAAGACAGCCTCGGGGCGTTGGGCTTCTCCTATATTGTCAAATGCAAGCTGTGGGTCGAGATAACCCTTCTTTGACATGCTCATACCCCGACCAGATGCTGATGTTGTAAGCGTGGCACCAATCGCGTGGCGCAGGCTGCGCCACAGCAGCTTGTGCTTGGGCCTGAGACAAGAGAAATTGGCAATGAAAAGGGGCTCGCTACAGAAAAGGGCGCTTAGTCGCCTATAAGATAGGGGCGAGCCCCGCAATCAAAACCACTCAGTTCACCACACTCCCAAAACCTCCCAGCTCACTTCAAACACTTTTCACACCACGATTTTATCAACTACTCAACTGTGCAGCCGTAAGCCACTTATTCTCATATTCTCCCCGCACTAACTCCCCCAGATGATTCTCCCCGGCCGCACCGTCCTTTTCCAAAAGATCCTCCGCAGCGTCCGCTCCCCGTCCATCCAAGTGCAACCCTGCGGCATCGATCTAACACTCAAATCTGTACTTACCTGGTCCTCTGCTGGCGCACTAGACTTCTCGAACACCCGTCGGAAGATGGCGGAAACGGAAACGCTGCCTTTCCTCGATTCGGTCGAGGGGGTCAAGTCACCATTCCCCTTAATTCGCCCTTCATCTCAAGCTCATGATCCCCCAAACTCAGGGTCCATATATCTCCCTCTCGGTTCTTACTTGGTAGAGTTCAATGAAACAGTTGACGTACCGTTGGATCTTATGGGCCAAATATTCGTTCGCAGCAGCTTGTTCCGGTCTGGTGCTTTAGTGCATGCAGGTGTGATGGATAGTGGGTATCGTGGCGCTGTTGGCGCGCTGCTTCAGGTTGCGAATCCACATGGTTTACGACTTTGGAAAGATGCGAGGCTTGCGCAAATTGTGTTCCACCACATGACAGAAAAGACCGAGGGATATAAGGGCGTTTATCAGGGACGAGAGGTGATGTGATGGTTCTGCAGTATTTTATTTTATCCAATGGGCGAAACAGCTGTGTTAGTACCTGCAAAAATTCCAAACCTTTGGCCTTACTTTGAATTTCACAGTTCATTCTAAGATAATAATATATTAAGCTTTTACTTTTAAATTCAGAAATTAGAAATTATATATAAGAAGTTATTAAAGGAAGTTAATATCTTAAATATTTTTATTATTAAAAGTATATTAAAAAAACTCTTAATAATTTATTTCAAGAGTTCTTATTATTTTTATTACTTTAGCTTCTTATATTAATAGTCTTTCTTACTTTATAAAATAATAGTTTTAATTATAGTTTTTTATAATAGAGATTATTAGTTTTATTATAAAGGTTGTATTTGTTATAGCTAATTCACGTTTACTATAAGAGGCCAGTCTTAATTCGGTTTATTACCTTGCTAGCGGGAAGCTCTTTGTTATTATTATATTTGTTAAGAAGAGCAATATAATAGCCTAACGGATTGCGGACTACTACCAGCTATTGAGCAGTCTCCGTCGTGACCGGCTACTTTCATGGCCTGCTCTTGCGGGTTTGAAGTGGGGAGTTCGCTAACCACGCATTAATTCGGGCTCATTAATATCCGCCGACACAGGGTACGGAGCCAAACGAGTGTTTTGATTGCCTGTTAAACTGAGGCTACGTGGATAGCAATGTAAACTTTCAAACCGGTATTGAAATGACTACTGTTCTATAGTAGTAAGTAGCTTATATATATATATATATAGGCCCTGAACGCCCTGAATTACATGCCTTAAACCCTCTATCGGCAGCCCCAAATATCAGCTCTACTTGGGCCTTAGGCACCTAATTCCAACTTGCCGACCTTCAGAATCTGTTAGCTCATAGTCAATTTACAGCATTGAGTGCATTATTACCGTACTTGGGTCTTAAACACGTCAAACTTTGGATATCCCTGGCGAAAATTCCTCCATGATTTGGCATGCACGGAAAATAAATAACCCATTCAATACAATCACTAAAAATCTGCCTAGAGATATAACTAATCTGGATCTCAAATGTTCCCGACCCGGATCGTATTTGTGTTCACAAATGATCTAATGTAAATTCTTGATCCTACCGACGTACTACCAGGCCTAGGCATGCACGTAAAAAGGATTTCTGACCATGACCTCTTAGAGGTAATTAATCTTATTAGCCGGCATAGTAATAGCTGGGAGATTAGTCGGGTTAAGCCATTCGTGCTAGTATCCCTTCGTCCGGTGAGACATTAACAGCGCTAGCGGCAGCATAAATGCGGATGGCTTGATTAGAGGAGACGGTTGTATTCTAACTGAATAGGGGATACTCGCGTACGGCCGCTAGCTAGCCAATGTCTCACCGGACAAAGGGATAGGATGTGTAACCTTTCCATCGGCCGCTTGGCGGCCGTGGCGTGGGCTCCAATGAATTATTATCAATAATTATCAATTAGTAATTGTTATGGCGCAATCGATAAATAGTCAATAATTACTAAAAATTTAATTAATAAAGGTGGGTCTAATCCTTTGGCAATGCTTATAAGGCTATTGCGCTATATTTCTAGCAATATAGGACTTATATTAACTGTAGCAAAATCACTAAACCTGGCGATTTTTGGCGAGTGTGAGCCCTATATTACTAGAAATATAGCGCATTAGCGCTATAAGTATTGCTAAAGAAATTAGATCCACTATTAATAATTATTAATTATGGACTAATTAGCGCGATTATCTATTAATTAGTTCTTGAGCCGATCGGAGCTCACACTGGTCGGCCGCTACTGCCAAAGTCTGACTAGATTCCGACTATAGTCTTACCAGAATCCTGTTTAGATTTATAATTATATATTAGTTCTACTCTCAAACCTAGAGATATAAAGTCCTGTGCTTTGCTACAATCTAACCTGGCTCTAAGCTACATACTCAAAACCCACCTGACACATCGCACCAACATTTTTCTAGACTATTACGTCTTTATGCCACATCTATAATTTGTGAAATATCGTTTATTACACCAAACTCAATAAGATGTTTTCCCCAGCCAGCCTCCTTAGTGCGCTCGCCTTTGCAACTGCTGGGGTACAAGCTGCCCTTGACGTTGCCTACTTCAGTGGGCCTAACTGTGGAGGCATGCAAATTTCCGAGCTGCACATCGCTGAGCTTGGCCTATGCTCAAAGCTCCTCACGGTCACGCCGGGTATTTCCTGGAAGGTCCTAAACTTCCCCGGCGTCACCTGCTCAGCGTTCACCACCTTCGATGACACCTGTACTTCGAACAACAACCTCTTCAACCCGGTCCTGACTTTCGACAGCGGCGGGAACGCCTGCGGCACCCCTAGCAGGCCGTTTAAGTCTCTTCAATGTGCTTAGGTGGAACATCGGTGGAAGAGCTGCAATTTCAAAGGCTAGTCGCTAGTCGATTGATAAGAGAGTCCGGAATTTTAAAGACTATTGGGATGATGGCATGCAAGATTTTACACATTCATTTATATTGCGTTTTAGGATTCGTTGGGATGGAGACCCTAGACATTCATTAGAAATACCAAACTTTAAGCTTGATTTCATTGATATGTCTTAGTGCTCTTTTCCCTATTTGTACAAATCTGCAGCATATTATGCAGAAGTATTGAAATGGGAACAATATATTGGTGCAAGAGCGATATATTGAAAGTTGACAGTGCGTAAAATGACTAGATACAGCAGAGTTAAGAGTAAAAGCAGAGGAAAAGATTTCCAAAGCTATGTCCTTATCCCTATTACCCTTCGGCTATATGGGTGGTACTAAGCTTACTTTCTCCTATATAATATAAATCAGATAGCTAATATATTAGTGGGTGTACGCAGATAACGATATATTAATGAACGATTCGTAAGCTCCGCAGGTAAGCATACAAATAAGAGAGGAGTAAGTTAAATTAGTGGTTGAACCTGGTGCTGGAAGGAATAGTAGTCTAGCCAAGTTAGTGTACCACCAATTCAACAAGAAGCACAGTCACCGCGATCCAGATACCACGCCACAAACCTCAAACCCAATCGTTCACCTTCACACGACTCAAGCTCTGCCATAAGCGCCGAGCCCTCCATATGCACAGCAACTTGCATACATGCTCGAGCCATGAAGCAAACCAAAGCAGGCCAACGTCTAGCCGATATCTTCCACCATCCGACTCCCGTCAAGAGCCGTTCCCGAAGCACCCCACACAAATCCGAAGAGACGTGGCGATGGAAAAACACAGATCTAGTAAAAAGCGGCTTCAACTTATGGGATGGACACAATAAGTGTGGAAATTGTTAATAAAAGTTGTGTACGTTATCCGGAACGTGCCAACGACCTCCCTTCACACTCAATTTTCGGCGACACAATAAATTGCATTCCTAATTAATCCATTCTACTGTACGTTGCACTGTATAACTCTGACAGACCTGCCTTCTTGATACCACCAGTCTTCCTTTACCACGTCCCAGGACTTTGACCAAGAACAACAGAAGTAGTGCTGCGTTTTATGCTTACAGCAATCCGGTGCAGCCCGCACAGCCCTGAATATTTGCGAATATAACCGGGATCCAAGGTCAACGCACACCCCAAGCGAATGCACACCTTAATTTTAGCTAAATACATGATATTAAATGAATATTGCTTGCAAGCGTATACAATATACGAATCAAGGCATACGAGAGTTTGTGTACTCTGAAGACCCTTCTCTTTTGTCTTCTTAAGCCTGTCTTAACAAGCCCCCTTTTTTACCTAATAAATCAGATTAGAACAGCAATTACGGAGCTGCGGGCAGAGCTCTAGCGCTAGCATAATAAACTTAAGTATTAAAATACCAAAATTACATGTCAGAATACCGAAATTACCTTCTTGTAATTCCTTCTTATAAATAGGTCCGCTAGCAGACCTAAAGCGAGCCCCCCAGATCCAGACAAGTTTATAAAACAAGCTTAGAAGTTCGATATATGGCTTCTAGCTATCTAAGTAAAGCTACAAGTTAATAGGAATGCAATTGGAAACGTTGTAGCTTAGTTTTATTACGTATACTTGAATCTGAACTCCTATATTCAAGCTATAGTTCTCCCGCAATTCTCTCTTGATTCCTCTACTCCCAATTTTAATACGATTCTGGTACAGCTTGCGCGAATATATAATAACCGAAATAAGGTATAAGATATAGAGAATAAACTATATACCCTTAAATAAGGTACTAATACTTTATATACTTATATTACGAAATTCGAGCAAATTTTATACGAGATATAAAATTAGAATTAGCAAGATATAAACAAAATCTCTACTTTTTATAATATTTTAGTTTTACTATTTATAATTGACTTAGTTAATAATTAAACCTTTTATAAATATATTCTAATTTCCTATATATTATTTAGTAATTAATAGGCCGATTTATAAATTAAGGTTCCTTTAAATAATTTCTTTTATAAAATTACTAGACTTATAAACTAATGGAATTTTCTTTAATTAATATTATTAATATTAATATAGCTGTAATTTCTACTTTATTATTTATTTAGAAATAAGTATAATTAATCTTTCTTATATATTATAAGAAGTATTATAAATAAGGCAAGTATATATATTAGAGCCTTATTTAATTTATTTAATTATAGTAGAAATATTTAATAAAAAGTATATATTTATAATATTTAATAAGAACTTTAATAGTGATTTTAAATAAAATAATTAATAAGAACTTATAAAATTTATTTAAGAATAACTTTAAAAACTTCAATAATATAATATTTAATTAATTTAGTTATATTAAATTATTAGGTACTCGTTCTTGTACTCTATTCAATTGTATCACTGACATCGGGAAAGGACTTACCAGCAAGGCCCCTGAAGGCTGAAAGCCCACTTCAACGACCAAGGACTTCAAGTTTCGCAAGAAGGTCCGGTTCTCCAATGGCCCCTCCATCTCCTTCCCGGCAATATTTCCCGGCGTCTTACACCCCACCAATGACCAACCTGGCTCAAATTCCAGCCAAAGGGGTGAATATGCCAACAACACAGATTCAACCGACGCAGAACCTCCAAATTACCCTTGTTCTGCCAGATCAATGCGGTAGTCTGGACTTCGACGACCTCGCCCCAGCATCGTTTTTGAGAGAATACGACCTTGTCATGTTGATCAACTTCTTCGCCCAGAGAACTGGCCTCTCAATTCAATCATTCGAATGCTTGACCTTCAGACACTCCTTTGCGGGAAATAGTGTGAAGTTTATTCATGCAGATGATGGCACTGAGGCTCGGGAAGCATTCAAGAGAATTCTCAAATGAGCTTTCGTCTATTCTAGGAATAAGTTTCCTTCCAAAGAGGAGTTTGATATCTGGGTCGAGAGGGGTGATACCAGGGGAGAGGTTGCAGGGGACGATAACGGCAGACTGTGACTGATTCACGAAATGGCTGTTTTGATAAGCAGAACAGACCATTTGATAATTCGTATCTTTGAGTTCGATGACCCGATGTTGACCTTTAATGCAAGAGACGGAGAGCTCGTTGAACGGCATGAAGCAAAGCTAGATTGTGCACTGAATCTGTGTTACTCGGGAGGTTCGACGTTCCGTCCCGGATATTGAATCCTTGACCTTGACGCGGACTTGCCAGCCAGTTAGCTGTGGGGCGCTTCAAGCCTGTTGAAACCATTGGGAAAGTTAATTTAGCCAGCACCACTCATCTTGCCACGTTGGTACTTGGAGTGATTTGTGATGCTGAAGTTCATGAATTCAAGGTCTAAAGGGCCAACAGGGTGTCAAGAATGATTGCTAAAGAAGCCAGGACATTCCATTTTCTGAGAAGAATTAATTAGTCATTAGATCTCTTGGCACTCATTACTGCAGTTGAGAATTTGATTCCCTTCTAGCCCCCCTCCCCACACTTAGCAAGCTAATTTTTATAATTTTATCGTAAAGTAAGGCTTTCTTTTTTCGGCTATTCTTTAGCCCCCGGCACGCGCACAAAAGGTGGGCAAGAAGCACGTCCCTCTCTTGCCCCTTATAATTGCTTAAAAAAGTATATCCTCAACGCACGACGCTTAAGGTATACGTATACGCCCCTAGCCTATTAAGTCCCCAGTATTAGCAAGGGATAAGCTTTAGAATTCCCAGAATTAAGGCACGCTTGTACACTCAAGGTAAACGTATTAAAAAAATGTTAATATCAGCTTACTAATTTCTTATTTCTGTACGTTAGCTAATTTATTATGCGTTACCTGACAAATTACGCTACCATACATATATATATATATATATATATATGCCCCCAAGTCCTTGATTTAAAGGGCCAGCTGCTATTGTTAATAAATGTCCATTCCAACAAAACGAATATACTCCGCACGCCGTCGCGCGCCGAAGGCGCGTAACGCCGTGCCCCTAGCCCATTAAGGTCTTGGTATTAGTAGAGATAAGCTTTAGAGCTCCCAGAATTAGCACGATGGCTAGTTGAAGACATCTTTGCAAACAGTCTTCATTGTCCAGCAAGTCATGGTTCATTTCTTCTTAAATTCTATTTGTGAGCACTCTACGTGTTCTGTAGGTCTTCTCTTGTTCACTCCAACTTCACCATAATGTCCTTGCACGAGCCCAGGCTGTGGTACTTGGTCCACGCAGCGGCAGCCTTCGGCTCCTTCATAGCAGCTCCAGCTTCCTATATGTCACGTCAGTATATGCAACTAATCAGGAACATCAATACTAACCTCCAAACTATCCCACCCCACGAGTCCTAACCCAACATGTTCCCCCTCACCTACACTCATACCACCCCAAGACTCCTTCCCGAGTATACCCATCAACTCCTCCCACGCCTTTCTCACCTCCCCATGTTTGCTCTCATTACTGATCGTGATACGTGAGAATTGTGTGAAGGCCTTCGGCGTTGCACCCTTGGGGATATCCGCGACTTTGAACATGCCAACGAGCGGTGGACCAGCAGCTGCTGCTTCATATTTTGCTTTGTGTGCCTGTGCCCATTCAGATGTTTCTAATGCTTTCGCGTCTTCCAGTGTTGCAAATGCTGGGACAAGTTAGCCAACCTGCAAATTCGACAGGGACGAAATACATACCCATTGTTTGCAGGAACTTGAAATCAGTCACTGCGGCTCCATCCTGAGCAACAATCTGTCCCCCGGATGCGCCGAGAACAGATGGGAGATCGTTCATTTCTTTCGAAATGGTGCGCCAGGCGCCTAGGAAAGTGTCTTTGTGCTCATTGGTGACTTGTGGGATGATAACTGTCATGTAAGGCATTTTGATGGAAGTCGATTGAGTATGCTGCGATTTGCAAAATGGAAGTTTGTTTGTCACGAAGTGAGGCTTTTGGGACTGAATGAGATGAGATAAAAAATCACTTTCTCAGCGGAGCAACTTATCTATATATATATATACTCAAAAGTCAATTTATCTGAGCTCTTTGCATGAGGTTCAAGGGCTTCAGAAGTTGGGATACGATCTCGGACTTCTTGCATTGTCATTCGTTCGGGATCACTTCCGAGGACTGTGCATAAGGATGTGTACGCCTCGGATATTATTTTGAAACAAGCGGACCTCGGATTCTGGTCGCCCCATCGGTTTTGCTGATCTGAGGGGCGGAAACCGGGACATGTTCGCATTCACAATTATTATGAACGATTGTCCTCTAAATACGAGGAATCGAAATGGTTCTGGTGGCCTGAATTATGAAACTCTGCGACGTCTGCTGGGAGTTGCCAAGGCTCATGTGCACAGACTCCAGAGAACCCGCCATATTATATATTTCCATAGAGGTACTGGCCATAGTTTTGAGTGACCGCTGGTAAACTCTTCCAATCTTTCTTGGGCCTTGCTGAGCTTCGCAATTGCTGACATTCCTTGAACGTTGGTTGTGGAGAGGGCCAGTGTGGGGAGGCTGTCGGGAAGCTCCCACATCCGAGCTGACTTCGTTAAGTTTAGAAATTTAGTTGTAGTATGCCATGATAGGTAATAGTCGGACTTAACGTCGCGACTAAAGGGGCCCCACCCTTTAGTCGGGGAAAGCGAGTTGGCCCGCGAAAGCGAGATGGCCTGTTTCGGCCTTTTTTGCCTTCTAAAAAACAATATTAGGAACTAGCTATAGGAAATCTAATTAATACGTTTTATTCGCGATCTTATAGTTACCTATTATATACTTAAGGGCTAAAGTTTTAAGTAAAAGAATAAAAATTTATAATTAAGCAAAAGTCATAGATCTAATACTCGCAAAATAGTTACAAATAAATAATTCTTATGATTTTTGTATTTCTCGCAATTTTATTATTAAAACCTTAATAACTCTCTACCGATATCTTTTTTTAAGATTTAGAGAATTATATCTAGTTTATAAGGCTTATATTTTTAATTCTACTACTTAGAATTATTTAAAAAGGTCAAGGTTTCAAGTTATTAAGGATTTTATTTGGCGCGGGCCATTCCCCGACTAAAGGGTGGGGCCCCTTTACGAGTTAGTCGCGAGTTAGAAGTGGACTGCTTGGCGACTAAAGTACGAATGCTTGAGGGCCTAAAAGGGGGCGGGGTAATCCCTGTTCGCTAAAGTAGTGGAGCTAAATTTAACGAAAAACCTTGTCTGGCTGGAGCTCGATCTAACTCAGGGGCAGTGCAGTTTCCTTTGGATTGATCCGACGAAAACGGCAGTATGGTGAACTCGAAGATTAAGTTTTGATGTCTAACCATGACTCGACTTAGACACCCACAGATTCTATCGTGGGTCCCACGCACTTTGAAACATTGAGACGAGTGAGCCCATCCTTGTCTTTTAAAAACCCTTTATTTTTTTATATATATTTTTTTGATACCATCAGGGTTTCTCCTGTCCCGAAACGGTCGCACATTTATCCGCGTTCTACCCATCTTCTGTCCCGTGAGTGTTCTCTGCAACTTTGCCCGTGGCCGGAAGCAAATCAGTCAAGACACCCGAAGCGTAGAGAACAAAGAGGAGAGCAATAGTCCATTCCAATACAGTATTAGGGTCCTTACAACCTGCGAAGAATACCAAGAATGCGACAATAAGAGCAATTTCCTATCTAACGACGGGGATTTTGATGTAGAATGCCGCACTCGGTAGGTAATGGTTGCTGGAGTTCTTTCGAAGATGCCGTCTTTCCCAACAGAGGAATGCCACTGATATTATGTATCCAGCCAGCACTTTCAAGGTCAGAAATGGTCCGCGTATTTGAGGAATTGGCTACTTATAGGGCTAGGATGAGCAGAGATTCGTGGACTGCTCGGTGGTGTGCGACATCCCAGAATGGAAAGATTAATGAAGCCAAGTGATCCCACCGCAGCACATTCAACAGACAGAACGTCTGAGATTTGTCACCCCTACTTTGCATTTCTGGACTTTCTTTTCGAAGGAACAGCCCCTGCTCGGAAAGCAGCAATAGATCAAGCGAAATTGCGGTGATACAGCATCCGGGGATGAAAAGGGGCTTAATACTTGAAGCTCCGACATCTGAAATGAAACTTTGAGAGCTTAGATCAAAAAATAACTCTCAACCTCAACGGAAACTCATGCAATTGTCTAACCCCGGTTCTCTGAAGTGTAGAAAGGTCTTCCAATTACACACCAGTGTATCAAAATTACTAACAACATCACTGAATAGTTATTAATTATTTCTGGACTTGCCACCAGAGACACATACCAAGCCATATTATGATTGTTATTCCCAGGAACACCCAGAGACTAGATATCCTCATGTTGTCAAATATTTGAAGAGAATATTTTAAGGAGAAGAACTGCTGGAAATGTTCCATTTTTATTAGAGTATAGGGCCAGTGTGTCAAAAAAATAATTAAGGTAATTAATTATATTTAATTAAATCAAGTAAATAATTAATTATAATTTGATTATCGACTTTTTTTTTAAAAAAAAATTAATTATTAGAAAAATTATTATTAAATATAATTAATTATTTCTAATTATCACGTGAAACCCATATAAAAGTTATATAAGTAATAATTTCTCTTCTTTTTCTTTAAATAATATATAACTGAAGCATAAAGAGAGTAAAGGTTAATTAATTTCCAAAGAAGAGAGAAGGAGGGCAAGGTAATATATATGTGAATTATTTACTCTGTATATTATATAACCGTACCTACGTAACTAGAAAAGTCAAAATCCCTACTATATTCTTCAGCTCCTTTTTATTAAAAATGAAGCTTGAATTATTGTGTTTTCTGGGAAAGCTCCAGCTTCCTTAAAACTCTGGAAATTATATCCCTACTTAAAAGTGGACTATAGAGTATATAGCCCCTGATTTTTAATACTTCTACTCAGGGATAGATGCCTTTATTCCAATTAAAATAACCAAATAACTAACTAACTAATTACTCCAAATTAAAAGCTGGAGTAAATCTCTTAATATCTCCTTTTATATTATAAATCGCTAGTATAGTAGAAAAGTAAGGCTCCTTATTATAGTACTTATAATCTAAATACCTTTTTCTTCTATAGATATTACAAGTTATCTTATACTAATAGATTCCAGAGTATTACTATCTATATTTTGGGTAAGTGGGCTAGGAAAAGAGGCATTTACTATTTTCCCCTTATATAAGCTCTCTTCTAGCCTTCCTCTTAACTTCCCTTATAGCTATATATCCTATTATAGTATCCTCTCTTTTTAATAATCTCTAATTTTTAGTCCGGAATATCCTAATTACTTTCTCTCTTATAATTCCGTCTAGTATTATACTCTAAATCTATACTAGTATATTATATACTAAAGAGAGTCTAAATATAAAAATAAGGAGAATATAATAATCGGTAATAAACTTTATTTTTATAAAATTAATCTTCTTATTAAGGACTTTAATTTGAGTAATAAAGTCTTCCAAATTACTACTACTCTTTATTAAATTAAGTTATAGGAAAAATAGCTTATATATAGAGATATAGAATAGCTAGTCTTTTATAAGAGTATAAAAAGTTTTAAGCTTCTCCTATAGGAGATATCTATTATTCTATTTAGCCTCTATTAGCTTAATCTTAATAAATTTAGAAAGTATTAGAATAAGGATATCTATAGTATTAGTATATTTCTCTTTTAGGGCTATAGAAGTACTAGCAGAAAAAGAAGTCTGGCAGACTATTTATAGCTTCTTCTGCTATAGCTTTGCCCTCGTATTAATAATCCAAGTATTATAGTTCTACTCGTTTAGGTACTTAATCTGATCCTTATCTAAAGGTATAGCGGCTGCTTTATAGATTACTATAACTTGATTAAAGATCTATTAACTAGTAAGGGTATGATTTCGAGTAAAAGGCATATAGAAGTACAAAACCGGATCTTATAACCTGTTAAAAATGAAGCTTGAATTATTATATTTTCTGGGAAAGCTCCAGCTTCCTTAAAACTCTGGAAATTATATCCCTACTTAAAAGTGGACCACAGAGCGTATAGCCCCTGATTTTCAATACTTTTTCCTATAGGGTTTTAGAGCTGTTTACTAAAGCCCAGGGCCTCTTTTATACGCGTCTTCTTATTAATAAGAAGTGGATTAGTCAGCGAAAATATTACCTGAGGTTAGAACTTATGTAGTTAGTCCCCGCCTGGGCCATTTTAGGCCTAGAACGGAGTATAAATAAAATAAATAAACAAGTACTTATTTATAAAGATAAGTAAAGCGAGTAAAGGCGGGATACTAGCTATTAAGCCTATAATAGTAAGGCGATATCTAAATTAAGGTAAAATAGGCTTTACTTTTGTGCTATAACGCTTATATTATATTTGTAGTTACGCGTAATAACACGTGACCCAGTAATTAATTATATTTAATTCAATTAAGCAAATAATTAATTATAATTTGATTACTATGATTCTGACTTAATTTGATTTGATTACCGGCCAAGAATTATAATTAATTAAATTATTTGACACACTGCATAGGGCAATTATTTGCATAACCAAGCTGAAGATAAAAAGGTTGGAGATTAATGGTCGGCTGAATTGGAATTATTTTAGTGACTACAGGGCTGTTCTCAATGCAACTCTGAATGGCCATCTGCTGCATAGTCCGAATGGCGGGGCGGCGTAAGACCTAACCTCAGCAGGGTAGCATACCTCCGACTCTATATAACGTCACTACCCTATAATAAAGCCGAGCCTGCTGAGTTGGCTTCTAGATAAGGAACAATCCAGTACCAAGGTGCTCTATAGGTCATCAAATTTTCATACTGGCAGCTTGTTATCGACCTTTTAGACTTGGATACCCTAGGATCGACTTTGGGCTTCCTTACCATAAATACTTGAACTCTGTCAAGACAAGCAAACGCTGCCCAGAAGTAAGGGTAATTTAGTAAAAGATATCCAAGAAGATCAGCCAAAAGGAGCAATTAAGAGACTGATGTGAGAATAGTTGCAACATCCAAAGTCCATGAGGCAGCGGCAAATGTCATAACAAGACACAACGCCAGTGGAGGTAGCCAAAGACGATAATAATAAATGGACACATCTTATATATATTAATGAAGCTACTTGAAAGTTATTATTAAATAGTAATATATATTAACAAGAAGCTTTGAAATTATAAAAACTATATATTACTTTTAAATTATTTTATTTATTATAATTACTTATTTATTAAAGTTAAAATTTGACTTTTTTATTTGCCCTTAAAAGCTTTAATCTTATAAAGAAATTATTGTTACATTTATTACAAATAGTATATTAAAGGAATAATTTCATAATTTCTTTACTTTAGAATATTTTAGAATATAAAAGTTATATGAATTCTTTATATTTTAAATTATTAAAAACTTAATTTTAATAGGAATTATTTATTATTTAAGTTAAAAAATATTTTATTTAGGCTTTATATATTTAATAGATTTATAAAGTGGTTGCTTTTAAATTAATAAACGTGTTTTTCTTAAGCGCTTGTTTTGGTGCGGGGCGTCGGTTCCGCTAAGCCCCGCCATGGATGACTAAGTTTCCCCTGATCTCCTGTTTTTCTGTTTGCAATCTCTTTTCCTTTTCAACAACCTCAAAAGACTATCCTTGACATCAGAACACCCATCCTGCCTTTCCATATATTCTATGATGGATTTGCAGGAGCTCGTCCGAACCTTCAACAAGCTCCCACGATCTCCGAAAACCCCATCTGGTCTTGTGGACGATCACTGGCACATCGCAATCCGGCATGTTCCCCTCAAGCCCCCGGGTGACTTGCTTCATCTCGTGAATCCAGGAAGTCAATACACCCACTTTGAAGGCCCTGCTCAAATTCTGTCCGTCGAGCCTGCAACCTCTCGGGCTGATGTCGTGCTTCCGATGCTTCTGAGGTCGTTTGTCAACAGCATGGGTGAAAGTGATCCACGTGTTACGCCACGTGGACCATGGAGTTGGGGAACTGGAGACGAAGAACTAGCGAAGGCGCTGGAGGAAAAGCTCAAGGCTGCCGGAGTTCGCGATGAGCTGTGCATGATCAAGGTTGGAGACGCGAAGGACATGGTGATTGAGGAAGAAGTATGGGTCAGTGTTTTCGATAAGATGAAATTGCGGGAGGGGCCTAAGTGCAGTCAATGCAAAAATCCTCCTTCAGGTGATGGGAAGCTCCAAGTCTGCAGCCGATGCAGGAAGGTCCAATGCTGCTCGAGAGACTGTCAGAAAGCGGACTGGAAGGAGCACAAGGTTGTCTGCAAGTATCTCGCCAAAGACCCATCAATTGGCGCACTGGATTACTACCAAAATTTCGCGCCACACTTTCCTGAAGCGTAAGAGTTAGCTGACGAAATTGGACTGTCTCTCCCAGGACAAGGTAGTAGCTCGCACGGCCTCAGGTATACTGACCAATCTTGTCGAATGGCACGCTCTTCGTGGCATCGTAACTGACTGACTACTGTTCTAGTGCTCCTATTCGCCGATTGGTGATTACGGGGAAAGATTGGTCAGAGAATATTACGAGGCTGCTTGGGCGGGGTGACAGAGATATGGTTGACAGTATTCACAAGGACACTCGTATCGAAATCCTTCTTAGATCTCCACCAGGATCTCCGAATTATGCTATGGCGGCGCAGCTTAAGTTGGACGAAAATTGCCCGCTGTGGACGCCTCGGGAAGCTTCAGCAGGTGAGGAAGCGGAGCTCAGAAAGATCAGGGACATACAGGGACACATCAGGCGTCATATGGGCTCTCGTGGCATGAGCAGCATCACTACTCAGGATATGCAAACTGTTCTGACTGCTAATTTTGCAGCAACATGGGGCCAGGAACTTCCATACTATCAGTATGCTGTCAACGCGATGGATCAGGGCGTCCGAACCTGAGTAGAGCATATTTAGAAGAGGGAGGGAAATAATACTGGCTGTAGGGCATTGCTAAGCTAGTGCATTAACACCAAGGTCACAGAAAGCTGTTAACGAAACACGCACAAGTTGTCAACGCCCGCAAGAGATGTTGTTCAGAAATATGAACGGCACAATTCCAGACTGGTCTACCATTGTTCAATCCCCTTAGTACATTTATTTTCGGGCGAGTCGCCTTGCTCCTTTTGCTCGCGAATAATTGAAAGGTCTTCTTGAATTGCAATACCCGCCACGAGCACAGAACACCGCTCATCACCACTTTCTGAACTTTTTTATCCGCTTACGTAGCCTTTGCATCGCGCAAGATATCCTCTGACGCCTTCATGCTTATCATGAAGGTTGAAATGACGGGAAAGCCTCCAGGAACCCTCGGGAATGCACTAGCATCCACGACTCGGAGACCTGTTGTGCCCCTCACCCTGAAGCTCGCGTCCAACACAGTCATTAGGTCACTATCGGCGCCAGTAGCAGAACTGCTACTCGCATGATAAGACCGAGACTGAGGCAACACCTTCTCCTTCAAATCACACCTTTTGTCTGCGCAAGGAAAACTTCCGTGAATGGACCAAGCGGCGCCGGAATGGATTCGAAGATGCTTCTTCCTGGCTGCATGCCTTTAGCCATCGCTGCAATATCAGCGTCCGAGCCTGGGCCTTCAAAGAACCGGAAGTTGATCTCCGGGGTATCTCTCGGGTCAGCAGAGTTCAGCGTGACCGTGCCCATCCAACTTTGGGGGTGGATCTTCACCATGGAGAAATCCCATGTCCTGCGTGGATCTGGTGCAATGGGGTTCACTGTCAGAGCTGGCCAGTAGCCGCGGAAGGACGCGGAGGTGATCCTGAAGATGAAGAGATCTCTCTCTGTCGCGTTGCTGGTCTTGACTACGATGGCATTCAGAGGACTTTGGGCGTGCATCCCCTTCCCTTGATACCACGCATCCAAGCATGGATCTCTTGGTGCATCCCAGGTGTAAATCGGTCCGAGGTTCGCGAGGGCTGGCTTGTTGGCCGTAGCACTGGTTCCAACTTCCAAGTTGTCTTGGAGGTTGGTTCCCACGCCTGGAAGATCAACCACAACTGAGATGTTGAGTTTTGTGAGCTCGGATTTTGGACCGACGCCACTGAGTTTCAGCAGTTGTGGAGTGTTGAAAGCTCCACCGGAAATGATGACTTCCTTGCGTGCGAAAGCTTGTTTCTTAATTCCTGGGTTACTAGCATTGTATCCTGGATCAGCCTTGTACATGCTCTGTCCCTGAAATTCCAGTAGCTTTCGGTTGAGCCGAGCCGGTGGTGTCGAACAAGATCTTGGTCACTAGCGACTCCGTGCTCAGTATGAGGGGATACTTCTTCGAACAATCGGCATTTGTGGCGTTCAAGGTCCGAATAACAGCGGTTCTAGCATGAACACGTCAACCCATTGCGTCTCTGTGTGCGGGGAAACCGAAGACACCAATTGTTGGTCGCGGTCTGCATCGTTGTTATTCAAGTTCCTTGCTACCATCGCGAAGACGTTTGTCTGTGGTTGCCCCAAATTCTTTGCTGTTGTTGCCAAGATTGTTTCTGCGTCGCTTTGATTTCTCGGGTATTCGGGGCTATTGACGGAGATATCGAGGAATCTGCCGAAGCCATGGCCCTTGGTTCCCGGAGGGACTACATGGTCGTTGTCGAGATCCATGAAGTGCCTGGTCATATTCTCAGGAATTCCAACAAGTTAGCTTTGCCCTTCAGAAATCCGTTGAGCCTAACCTTCCTTACCTCCATGAAGATTGCTAGTGATATTTGCGAACTGCTCGTCTGCCTGGCTTGGTACTGCCCAGTACAGTACATAGCATTGTGCGTCGAGCATCCTCCTAATGTTCTCGCTCTCGGGTGACTACGCAAAATTAAAGTTAGCAAGCATCCACAAGACCTTTGGAAGAAGTTCATACTAACCACACCGAGCTGCTTGGCTCCAGCCAGAGGATTTAGCCCAACGTAGAACTTCCCAGCTGGCAACATCCACGTCAAATAATCGTACTAAGCGTCCAGTTTGGGATCCGTGCCGTAATTAATGAAGAAGTCCCATCTCATATTCTTATCATTGCCAGCTTGTTTGAAGAGGCCTCCCACAGTGAGGTTCAGGTTCTTGCTTTGATCATCGCCAGCTTCGAGGAGGACTGTAGCACCAGATCTCGCGAGGTAGGATACCAGAGGGCCGCCACCTGGACCAGAGCCCACGACAATATAATCGTAGGTGTTGACATCGGCGTTGACAGTGACGAGTTTGAAGGAAAATAGAAGAGACAGGACTGCCAAGCTACGGAGACCCATCGTGAAAGATTCAACGAGTGTGACTTGAGGAGTCGCAGATCTGGGAGGGACTGTGGACTACACTTAAGGAAAGGAAAATTATCAATGCCCCACTTGATTTATCTGATGGCGAGGGCGAACTGCCAACTGAGGTAATTTGTCTGTTGTGGAGGACAGTTCCTGCATCCTTTAACTGGTATGTACTGTACCTCCCGCGGCTTCATGGAAAACAATATGGGATAAGGAGGCGCCGTCTTCCGCAAACCCTTCGCATGCATTGTCCTTGGCATTGCTAAATACGGCCTTCCATATTCAGGACTGAAAACACTGGTCCGTTCTCTGGATTACGCTGAATGCGGTTCAATTGCTTCCCCAAGTTTGTCCACATTCAGGCAATGCATTTCTCATGGCTCCACGAATTGGGTGTTTTGCGACTGGTGTACCTGGATTGCCAAGTGTCTCAGTGTCAGTCATGGCCTGAAAAATATAGAGCAGGGTACTTGGTTCCTGGAATCGGGGCACCGGGAAGAAACCTTAGTGCCGGCTGAGCGGCTTCTTCTGTGAGATGCATGATTAAGGCCGTAAGATTCTGGCTTGGAACACTACAAGTATCTTTGAATTCGATGAAATGGGATTCAAGATCTGTTCTTGAGAAATTTTTGAGCTTGGAGTTGGTTTCAAGGCTAACGATCAATTGAGTGCAGTCGTCTAATGTTGGTTTCGACGATGACACACTGGTAGGATGAACATTGTTCCCCTGTGGTGTTACCTTCACGTTCTCATTCCCTCACCTCGGCGTCGTTAAAGGTTCCGAATACCTGTTTCCCCTCACATAATGGCAGTAGTTGATACTTGGCGGCTATTCGAACCGGAATTGCACGGCCTGTTCTTTAGTGTACCGAGATGGAGGTGTAGTTGGCTAGGCGAGCCTATATATTAGAATCTAGTCGATCTTTGGTATTAAGCACTATCGGGCCGAGGGCAATACAGTTTCTCCTGTGAAGTGTGTCGCGGGTTTTATCAAACCCGCCTGGGTGCTTGGGTGGATAATGTGGGGCCGGCACCATTAAGGTAAACCGAAAAGCCCTGGAGAGCCCCCAATTGGTCAGGTCGTTTGTTAGTCGAGTTCATTTGACGATTTGATATCGCCACCGGTAGTGAAATAGTGTTCCAGTTTTGATGATGTATGGCGGTTAAGAGAATGTCGTTGTGTCCAATTGAGACGAAGAGACATAAACACAGCTTCGATCCCGACTTCTTTCTCAAGATGTACTGGAATACTTCAAGTTAAGAAAAGGGGGAGACTTTTCAATGGTGTCATATACAGCTAGATTGTTGATTGTAATCTTATTTTTGGTTGGTCCTGGTAGAACTAAGAGGCATTTGTTTTTCATTGCCATACTCGAAATTTCTTGAGTCTAGAGATGGAAGTTGGGAAGTCTTTTGAACAATATATCCTACAGTTTTGACTGACTGGCAAAAGACTTTTCCATACCATCCCCATAAACAATTTGTTGGTTCAATTTCAAACCTCCTTCAAGGTTTCTTAAAGCGCCGCTGCTAGCCAAGCCATGCTCCTCCAAGAATCTGAAGCAGACCTCCATCGCGGCGGGGTTTATGTCATTTTCGGAGTCGACTATAAGGAGGACTCCCATGATTATATCGGAAATCTGGAACAAGATGTCTCGTGCAGAGGGCAGTAATTTTTCATGGCTCTCTTTCCGGAGTCTATCTCTGAGCGTTCCCCATATGGTGGTGATATCTCTCTTTGCACTTGCGAACGGGGAGGATCCAAAGTCGCTGCCAAGAGCCTTTGAGATCCATCGATCCATAGCATTGAGGACACCGTTGCCTATCCGACCTGAGAGCACTCTCAACGTATCACTGGCCAACACATCAGTCGTGCCTTCCCAGATGCTCAGAACGCAGCAGTCGCGATATATCCTGGCAATATTTATTGATTCATTCTCGGTATTATCGAGATAGCCAACTCCACCAAGTGCTTCCATACACTCTTGCAAGGTATGAATAGAGCGCTTACAGACCGTGGCTTTCAGCACTGGAAACAAAACCCGCAGGAGAAGTTGTATATTAGCAGGGTCATCCGGCTGAAGGCGTGCCCTCGATGATGGAGGTTCAGAACGAGCGGGAATCTGATCCTGCTCACTGATACCCAGAAGCCAAGTGCCGAAGAAGGTAAACAGATTCAATGAGTGGTATTCCCCAGCGATTTTGGCCATGGTATTCATGTGCAAAGGGGAATCCTTCAGCATCAATCTCTTTCCCTTCCCGGCTCCAACCTCGCGTACTTTGGCGAAGGACTTGGCAATCGCAAGACCACGGCCTAGATATCCGACTGCTGAGATTGCGCTATAAACTCGAGTGATGTTCAGAATGGCGCTGATTTCTTGAATGCCTTGTCCTTCCTTTCCGATGAGGTATCCACGGGTGTTTGATAACTCGAGTTCAGCAGTGGGAAGACTTTTAGTGCCGAATTTGTTTTTCAGGCGCTGGATGAATATGCCATTCGACTCTTTTTCGATCGGGGAGGCACTGGTATTGGGAAGCGTCCGGCAAATAGGTGCAAAGAAGGTGCTGAGTCCTTTCGGGGTTTGCGCAAGTAGCACTGTCATAGACGAGTCCGTAGCAGATGAGAACCATTTGAAGCCATCGATTCGCCAAGGTCCAAGAGGAAGATTAGATACGAATCCGTCATTAGAGGGTGCCCATGTCGCAATTGTTTCCGTGCCCGAGACGTCGCTCCCACCTCCCCTTTCCGTCATCCATTGGCCACTGGTCCAGGCTTTCTGAGGATCTCGAGAGATGAGTCGGTCGTATGCATCTTGAAATACTCGGCGTGAGGCGGGTTCAAGTTGGGTGGAGAAAAGGTGGGTCTTTAGAAGTTTTGCTGCACCATCTGTCATTGCACTAGGACACGAGACATTGGCATTTGATCCAGTCCACAAATGATTTCTACAGAATCAGCTTGTGGAGGAGTGAGGTCTTAAGAGGGGAATCTTACTTCAGCATCTGGACAACTCGAGTGGACTCGGAATACTTCTGTTCGTACCCAATCGCAACGATCCTAGTTTCCGAGACACTCAGCCCCGATTTGATGAAATGGAACTATTTTGGTATCACTCACCCGTTTTCAATACCAAAATTCTGCAGTTGCCTCCAGCCCTCAGAGACAACAAGCTCGCTCGTCCTCCGTCCAAAAGCGTCTCGCCCACCACCACGCACGTAAGGGACATTTCTTTCCGCATCAGTCACCCAGTCAAAGATTCGCTTGGATAATATTTCATCGCCGAAATTGGCAAGCTCTGGGGTGATAGACTCGATGACTGATTTGGGAAGGAACACTACAGGGGGAGTCAGCTTCTTGTGCACGTGACTTCCTGGAGATATGAACATTACTTACAATCCATTACCCTTTGAAAGCTAACATCATCGTAAAACTGGTTTCGAATGCTGGGGACAGTTTGGAAGAAGCCATCGTTGGCGGTTGATGGCTTGCGCTGGGCGGAGGACATACCGCGCGGTGAGTGAGGGGTCTCACATCAACGAGTCTGTATTCCTTGATGAATCCCTCTCACAGGTTCGTGGGCCCGAGAGATAGCACCCTCAAAAAATATGAGGACCGGTCTATGTTGACTTAAAAGGAAGAGACTCTCGGCGAATGATGGGTAGTTGTTGATGTTGAAAGAGCACAGCAGCATTCGGGGTAAAGTTGTACTCGGCTGACGGTCGGCCGACAATCTGCACAGTTCAGCCGAGGCAGGCAAAAAGGGGGCGCTACGCGAGGTTCGCCACGTGATAATCATAAGAACCTCTGCATTTTTGTTCTTAGTAACAGCTCGAACCAAATATTATTCAACTATTTCTTCCATTAGAATGTCTGCTTTGAAATCTCATCAGTACGTGTGGCAATGGATCTCTCCCAAGCTTCTAAAGATTAGGCAGAAGGCACAGCCACCTCATCACAAACAGGGTAACGTTAAGGCCCAAAATCGAATTTCTCCGTTAAGACAGCTTCTGGACAACCACCCATGAGCAACTCACATCATCAAATACGCACATTGCGATGTCAATCTACACTCACAATCCGTTTCTAAAAGGCCACGCCCACATCCGACTGCTGAGAATACTCCCAGTCTCAGCCAGAGCCTACCGACCAGATCGCATGTATATTCGAGATATTTGATGTCAATAAAGCCCTGGCATATCAAGCCTTGTCATATGAATGGGATCTGAAGGCTCCCGTCAAGGAAATTGATGTCATGGGTCAGCCAACAACGATCTGGGAGAATCTATGAACCTTTCTCTCCAGACTTGGATCTCACCGCTGCAATAATTATCACTGGTGTGGTGCTATTTGTATTGGCCGGGGAAACGGTTATGAGGGGAACTGCTAGGTGCAGCTCACGAGTCAAATTTACCGTAAAGCACACCAAGTGCTAGTCCGGCGCGGCGAGGCGTATCGCGGTTCAACTTGATGAATGGTGTGGAGGAACCTGGATGTAGAGACTCTTACTTTGCTCGAGAGCCAGTATGGGAATGCCTCGCCGCTCATTCCGAAAGGAGGTATTGGACTAGAATCTGGCTCATCTAGGAGATCACTGTCCCGCGAGAGCTGAGAGTATCCTGTGGAGAAGAAACAGTGTCGTGGTCTGCATTTGCAATGGTGTGCCAATTTCCCCCAGACAAATTTGCAGTTACGCAATGGACAGTCGAGCTTTGGACCCCATTATCGGTCAGTGTAAAGCAATGAGAACGATGGACCTCTATTCGACGAATCTGCCAAAGCAAAATTTACAGACTTTTTTGCCCACAAACCTGCTGGCTAGAATTTGTAGCTTCTTGCGAGACCCTATCCGACCGTTACAGGACACCAAGTTGTGACGACCGGGACAGAAATTTTGCCTTGTTGAGCATTTCGCAAGAAGTGGTAATCGATCGTCCTTCCACTGTCGCTTACCAGAAAAGCGTTGAGGAAACGTTCTTTCCCTAATGGCCTGGGAGCAACAAAGCCAGTTTAAATGCATTCTCGTTTTGGCGTGTTTGCTGGAGAGGCCATGGGACCGAGATGTCAAGGCTACGCAGTGGAGTCTCGAATCGACCATATTGATTCCGAGAGATCTCCAATATTATTCAAATGGATCAGTCAGCCGCTGTTAATGAGAATACCATGCTTACTTTTTGGGAAAGGTATCCATTAAGAACAGAGTTGATCTTAAGTCGTGCACAAAATTGCTACTTTAGGGGGACAATCCTGGTTTGGGAATACTACGCGAGCTGAACAGGGGGTTAGTAGGGGCACACTCCTTTTGAATCCATTTTCATGGAGCCTGGCCTTGAATCGAGACGAAGTCCACAGAACATAGCCACAACCAATAACTCGAATTCTCGCTGAACGACTTTGTGGAGAATCATCCATCATATTGAGAGTGATTTCGACTTTCGTTTAAGAATTTTCTCCCGTCAAGTGCATACGTTTCCGTCGGGTAGAGCTAATTGCCCCAAGCCAGCGATAGAAGCGAGAGTTTAATATAAAAGTAAATTTACTAAACTAACTAGTATAGATTTATATATGTACATCTGCTTCCATCCTGTCATTTATCTTAGAGTTTGACGAGTGATATCTGCGGTTCTCGCCTCTTCTCGCTTACCCCCTTTCCGTGATGACCCGCCCCCTTTCTTTTCTCACACTCGCAGCCCGGATTTCTTCTCCTGCAGAAGCAGCGCCTATCTCAACTAACTTCAGACATCTCAATTCCTTTTGGCCTTGCTGTAATTTTAAATTCATGCATCTGAACTCGTGAATTCAGAACTGTCGGTCGCCTTCAGATAAAGAGCCAACGAGCTCTGAACCGCAGCGTAAACGACGGGCATCTAGTAAACAAAGGACTGCTTCCAGCAGGCTGACAGCAGTGATTTGAAAACCAGATGAGGGTCATGTATCCTACGGGGTAAGAATGAAATACGTTCTTGTCTAGAGTTGCAGCCCACAAGCAGCATCCTCGACCCCCACCTTCGAAGGGATTGGTGGGCAAGGATCTCCAACGGCCTTCCGACAGGCCCTATATGCTAAAACTCTCCCCGCCCTATAAGAGACTAAAGTCCGATAGGAATCTGGTTTTTATAGGGGGGCAGAAGATAAGCTCAATAAAACTGCAGAGGTGCAGCAAGCATGGGGGCTTCGTGCATTCTCTGACACGTTCGAAGTCGTCTACAATTTTCATTTATATCCTTTTTCATATCTCTAAATTTAGACATCCTGTAAGTAAGATCCAATTGTTACTTCCCTTGGTTTCTCAATACACTTTCTGGTCTCGAATCTATCAACATGCCGGACACGAAGGACCTGAAAATTGGGGTCTTTATTCCGATTGGCAATAACGGCATGAGAGCTTCCATTTATTCAATAGCCATTCTATTCCCTGTGTTAAACTTCGAACTGGCCAAGACTCATCCCGTTTTCATCCTATCTAATGCTTGTACCGCTTCTTAAACATGAATACTAAGTGAAAAACACAGGCTGGCTCATATCAGAAACCTCGCCAAAATACATGTCAACTTTTGATTTAAACAAAGAGATCGTTCAAAAGGCGGAGAAATACGGTTTCGACTTCGCCCTTTCCATGACCAAAGTGTGAGGCTATGGAGGCGTGACACAACATTGGGATTATAATCTAGAATCCTTTATGTTGATGGCCGGTCTCGCTGCAGTCACAAAGAAAATCAAATTATTTGCGTCAACCCCCGTTCTGTGGTTACCCCCTGCGGTTATAGCGCTGATGGGAGTAACGATTGATTCGATTGCTCCGGGACGATTTGGTATCAACATTGTGACGGTTGACAGGCCGCAGAGTATGACCAAATTGGCATGTGGCCTGGAAATGATTATTTTGGGTCCGTTACGCAATCACCAACTCACTTCGAAAATCTCGGCTTATGTGTTGAATAGATATCGTTACGAGTGCGCAACGGAGTACGTGCAGGTGATGAAGGATTTATGGACAAAAGGTCGATCAGATTTCAAGGGGAAGCATTTCACCATGGAAGATTGCGGATTATTGCCACTGCCTTCCTCTGACATCAAGCTTATTGCTGCGGGCCAGAGCGGCCAGCTACGTAAAATGGCAGCTCACTAATTTGGCTTTTTCAACCAAGTAGATTTTGGACAAAAGGAGTTTGCTTACACCACTTCCAGGTACGGCGTTTGCTGCCAAATATTGCGACTACAACTTTACCAGCGGATCCGGGGTGAATCAGCCAACTGCTTTCAAAGAAGCAAATTCGAGGTTGGTAGAAGCATCTACAATCGAGGGCCGTAATGTTAGTGTACTCGTATCCATTCACGGTCATTGCCGACGAAACGGATGAAGCTGCACATGCCAAATTTGAGCAGTACAACCAATGTGGAGGCTCTAGCATTGATGAAAAACCACAGCGGCAAGGACGAAAAGGCTGGTAAATTCCCCATTGCTCAGAGAATGGCCAACATGGCGCCAAAGTGCAATTCCAACATGAGCACATTGATCGGGTCGTGTGCAAGTGTGGCTGCCATGCGGCAAAAGAGCCGATTAAGGGGGTTATGCTTACATTTGACGATTTTGTTAAGGGCGTTGAGGTCTTCGGGACGAAGATCTAGCCATAGACGAAATGTCGCTCGAGTACTTTGAATGAAGTAGCAGCATAGCTTGATAGAATTTTGGGGTCCTCTGTAAACCTACCTGGATATTTTGGTACAATCCATCTCATGCAGAACACTTCAAAGGTTCTGAACGACAGCCGAGTTTACAAGTTAAAATATAGGGTTACCACTATCCAGAGATGTTAATCAAATTCAAGGAAGCTTGAGGTATCTATAAACGGTACGTGAAACCGTTCACCCTTTACTCCTTTCATGATATGCTTAATGGGTCTCCGGTCACGTGCCGTCGGCAAAACACGGGTTAGCACGGGATATTTTCTGAACCTCTCGGATTCCAGGATTTGCAATCATCTCGAATATTTCTGGGAGCCTGCCATCCTCGACTCCACATCATTGAGGGTTCATACATCCATCATGGCGGCCACGACAACAAGATTTAGGTGTTTAAATGCACCTCCATTAAGACAGGCATCACGATGGTTTATCTCTGCCTCCCGCTCTTTTGCCACCGAAACTGCAACGCCCGAACCCCCAACTCCCAAGAGACGACCGACGTACTTTAAGGACAAGCTGAACGCAGTTCCCTCCTTCTCCGAATTTGTTGGCCTTCCAGATCAGCCCTTGAGTCCCGAAGATGCACTCGAGCTGCGCACGGCGATGGTCGGGCCCCCCGGCAAGAAGAAGCAGATCACACGACTCCCTGAATGGCTGAAGACTCCCATACCGGACAATTCGAATTACAAGAAGATCAAGAAGGATCTGCGGGGCTTAAATTTACATACTGTATGCGAGGAAGCGCGGTGTCCGAACATCTCGGATTGTTGGGGTGGCAGTGACAAGAGCGCTGCAACGGCTACAATCATGTTGATGGGAGATACTTGTACCCGGGGATGCAGGTTCTGCAGTGTCAAGACTTCGAAAGCTCCGCCGCCATTGGACCCCCACGAACCGGAACATACAGCGGAAGCCCTCTCTAGATGGGGCTTGGGATATGTGGTCTTGACATCCGTCGACCGTGATGACCTGCTGGATGGCGGAGCGAGACACTTCACCGAGACGATCATGAAGATTAAACGGAAGAAGCCGGGGATGTTGGTTGAGGCCTTGACGGGCGATTATGCAGGGGACCTGGAAATGGTAGCTATGGTGGCGAAGAGTGGACTGGACGTCTACGCACACAATATGGAAACAGTGGAAGAATTGACTCCCTTTGTTAGAGACAGAAGGGCGAAATACAGGCAGAGTCTGGCCGTATTAGAGGCGGCAAAGAAGACAGTCCCAAGTTTGATCACTAAGACGAGTATTATGCTGGGGCTTGGGGAGACGGAGGAGCAGCTATGGGAGACGCTGAGAGGCATGGTTCTCTGTTTACCAATTGAAGAATATGCTAACATCTTGCTAGATCTCCGCAAGGCTAACGTTGATGTTGTGACATTCGGTCAATATATGCGACCCACGAAACGCCACATGAAGGTCGAGGAGTACATCACTCCAGAATCATTTGAGCTATGGCGTCAAAGAGCCTTGGATATGGGGTTCTTGTATTGTGCTAGCGGGCCTTTGGTCAGAAGTTCATACAAGGCTGGTGAAGCGTTCATCGAGAATGTGTTGAAGAAAAGGAAGGGTGTGACTATGTTGGCCGATGAGGCTACCGGCATGAAGAAAGCGGTTGTATAAAAAGACCTTCGGCGCGCTTCGACAGTCGCTAGGTGTGGCCGCGGCGTTCTTGGGCATTCTTCATGGCGTTTACAGCATTCTAGAGATAGTAGAGCTTGCATGAAGTATATCGTGCAGGCAATGGATGTCAAGGTGCTCATACAAGATGTTGACTTCAGATTGAGTTTGAGCATATAATCAACAAAGTACCAAGCTCAATCACGAACGATCTTTTGGTCTGGGAAGTGTTTCCAGCAGCCAGGTCGTAGCATTTGATCGCAAATATATTTCTACATGTAACGCCTCCCTTCCCAGGCGCTGTTGCAGTGTAAGTGCACGCGCCATGCGGATTGCCCTCCATGGCGAATGGTCCTAGTTGGACTGGTATCCCATAGATGTTGTCTTGTGTTAGCGACCGGAAAAGAGCTTGCTGATACAAGTCAGTGAGCGGCTTCGTTTCGTCGCGTCTTTGAGATACTTGGTAGCTATTGATGTCATTGTTATTATCTGAAGCATAGTAGGAATTCCAGACGAATAGTTGATCCAATGTTTCTGGTGTGAGTGGGTTTAGAACGTTCTCTGTACTATCGGTTGTGGCTGCTGTGTTGTTAGTGCAAGTGCACGATGTCACTACCATGAAACTATAGCAATTCTATCAGTCTGGCTCTCATGCATCACGAGACAAGTGTGACTCACTTTGGAAGGCAGTAGACTGGGTTGGGCTCAACTGTGGCAGAAGGAGCTGGATCAGAAGACATAATTAGAATTGGCACTGTTGTGACGGAGACTGTGTAACTGTTGGAATGCTAGTTAGATATGCTACTGGTGAATTTTGTCCGGCGGTCGAACTTGTGACCGATTGGTTCATAAGTGGAGCCGGTGTCCTTAACCCATCTGATCCGAAAGCGAACGGGAAAACCAGCAGTATTTTGCAAAGAGCATGCAGGACCGAAGTTGTGGCACTGTTCGTGGCTGTGACTGTGAAACCGGAAACTGTTCAACAAGTCGTTGTACAACTCATGCCTGTTTCGGAGTAACAGCTAGTAAAACACCCCGTGGTTGTATGCTGGCTGCAAGTGCTCGATGATTTAATGGTCGAGTGGGCAGTCGTTAAGGTCTTGGTGTGGTCTTTTGGTTTCTCTGTCCCTGGCGTAGGCCTATTATCATGGCCAGTTGTGGCTGCATTCAGAGAAGGCAACGGTGGAGTGCCCAAAACGTAAATCCCTGGGCCAGGCCCTGAAGGTTGACGTCAGCTAGTGTATGGAGGTTGCCGGGCTCATCTCTTACCGATCCCGAAAAAGAGTATTCGAACATCTTTGGCTGGACAACATAGAATACAGTGGCTTTTTTAGATCAGCATGATTCTCGGGAACAAAAATTGTAGCTCACAACAGAAATATTATGACAAGATCTGGGCCAGATCCTTTTTCACTGTAATTATTGCGTTCGTTGTTACTCTTGCTATGCTGGCAGTAACTGCAGAGACCGTTTCAGGACTAGCTATGATGAATAGCAGAGGTGAACGTGTTCCGCCAACGTCAGAAGTAGGGCCTGTAGTCGAAACTGGAAGTGGAAAGAAACCTGTCCGGCACGGCAGTGATATCGTGGAGATTGAAAATGAGCTTGCGCTTGCCGAAGTTGAGATTTTTATTTTGCTGCTGCTCTAGGCCTTGGTTATTGTGCCTAAGCTTTGCTAGGAGGTTTTGTTGGGAACACTATTGGAAATCCTGTAGGGGTGTTGAGTGCTTCCCACCCCACTCCGTTCGCACCAATCAGAGCAGTAAGTGTGCGGCTACTGCTGTCGGTGGCATAGGTTGAGATTTTAGAGCCTGCTATGCGAGGAAGAGAAAGCGAAACAGGCGCGAAAGTTTTTACTATTGTAGTGCCTATAACAGTGATCGTGACCAGGGCTTGGCCATTATTAGATGTCGGACCACCAGCGAAATCAAGTTAAAAGCTGTCTTGTTCTACGCATGGTATCAGCCAAAAGTCCAAGATTCGCTGTACTTGGGGGAGTAAGTCCTCTCGCTTCTGGCCCAGAACAAAAGTATCTCGAACACTCAACCCTGCTGGGCAAAACGCCATCCATTGTGTTGATTTCATCTTCATTCAACGCTCTAGAATGTATGACGCCTTGTAATGTTCATTTACACCAACGAGCAGTGTTTGACTCTGGGAACGTCGTTGAACTTGCATAAGACGAGCCAAATTCTGGGAATCGATAACTCTGATATGCTGGGGTCTCAAGATTGAAAAGGGAAGACTGATCACAGAAGTATAAGAGAAATTGCTAGCTAGGGCCGCTAGCCATAGACCTCGAGGAGGCTGTGAGCCGACGATTCGGGTTCATGGCCCTGGACCTCTGCGCCTTCTTCCCCACCTGTTTTCGGTGTACAGTGAAATATTTGAAACACACTTTCACATAGCCTTCGTATGTATTTCATGATTATTTTTGTTGGAGTGTTGTGGCCAAGCTCTAGGTTGTTCTCCAGAAGCCTTCGGGGGGCTGTTGGAAAGCTACCATTTGTTCTTAACCAAGTTGACTGACACCACTTGTGCAGATGTCAGGCGACGACCCCTCCACGTCCCAGTGTGCCTTGCAAGAACACAAAAGGCAAGAGAGGGTCAGCAAGGTGTCTGGCCACCCGTTGGGGCAGAATCTACAATTTTCGCACGCCGAGTTTGGTTGACTTTAGTATTAAATGGAGCAAGTCGGTTGGGTTTATCATCGACTCGCTAGAAAAAGGGTATTCTGTAAGGGGGCGGCGTTCAAAACTCAGGGAGTTTGACTCCCATATTACAGGAACGGCATATATTACGTATGCGGTATGAGTCTTTCCTTGCGCTACCACTGATCTTACTGGTCAGGACATGCTTCCTCACCCTCAGAAATACGTCTGTGTGGTCCTTCCAAAGAAAGTCCACTGCCTCATCGTAGAGAAGCTGGTCTACTTCGAACATAGCAACTACAGTTGATATGTTGTAAAGCCAGTATCATAGGCATTGGAGTAAACCAGCGGGTGTACTTTGCCATGATGTGTAGTACTCGTCCAAATGTATAAAATTTGGAGAAGATATTGCATTGGAAGAAAGGGGTATTATTTAAAATGTGCATTCAGTTTTGAACTGAATTTTCAGTGACTCAGGTGTTCCGGTGCTAACTTATGATGTAGCGTCTACCAGAAAACAATCTTGGTCTTTCAAACGAATCTCGAAGAGTCTTACAAGATACTAAGACCAGATAAAACAGAGTTCTCTCTCCCAAAAGAAGGTTGGCCCCGCGTTGAAGCCAGAATCGTCACGTTCAAATCCTCGCTCCTCGTGTCTCGATTCATCTGGCCATAGAAGTGGAAGTTCAAGATATGAAGCAATATAACTAACGGGTGCTAGTAATAAGAGAAATATTATTTCAAAGCGATACAAAAAATAGGCAATGGCTAGTGGGGATGTTAGGGTGATGACGCTTCTCTCGAGTAGGCAGGAAAGTGAACAACTCTCCGATCAAGCGGCACCTTCGTCCCATATCTGACATCTCTTATCTCGTCAAAGCTCTTGTTAGAAGCTTAGAGATGCATTGGCAGTTCCGCGAGACTGAGGCTGTAAGTTTTTGATCTATGGAAAGTTGGAGGAGGAAGGAAAAGAGGTGTCGTTCGGTTGGGTTCAAGAGCACGTGAGGCGCGTCATGAAAGCTCACGCGAGAAAGCTTGACCTCAACTTAAATCATACGAAAGCCAACACAACTCCAAATTCAAGCAGAGAGCCTGCAGCTTCGCGATAAACGCATCCCGTCGAATTCCTGACATACCTCATATCTACATACGGTCTTCGATTGGAAACAATTAACATGGCGGCAGAAGCGCCCCTCAGCAACGAAGGCTCCGCCGAGCCCCGAGATCTTCAAGTCTCCAGCACCCTGCCTTCAGAAGTTGCCCAATGCCTTCAAAACGCACGATTCGTACGCTCCCCCCCCCCACCTTATCTACCTCTCCCCAACCTGCAAACTCACGGCTAATCTCTTCTTTCTAGCTTCACCTGGCAACATGCACGAATCTCTTCCCCCACGTCTCCCTGATGAACTACACCTACCTGCCCAACAGCCCCTACTCCACGACACCTACGATAATTATGACCACAAACCCTTCCTCCAAGAAAACCCTCAATTTAATCTCGAACCCACACGTCTCGCTTCTGGTCCACGATTGGGTCTCCCACCGACCGCCAACTACGAATCGTCGGGGTTCCACAGCAGCAGGAGACCGTGCAGGCTCTCCACCTCCTGAGGCTTCACGATCCTCGCTCGCTGCACTACTGTTGAATTTGAATACGAGCGCGATGTCTAGTATCTCTGCGACGATCAATGGGGAGGCAAGACTGGTGGAGAGAGGCACGGAGGAGGAGAGGTATTATAAGGAGATGCATCTGGACAATAATACGTTTAGTGAGGGGGAGGAGCAGAATCCTGGTCAGGGTGATTGGGATGTGAGGGAGAGGCAGGATGGAGGGAGAGGGATGTATATTGAGGGGGAGGAGGTGAGAGTTGTGGTGGTGAAGATCACGGATGGGAGAGTTAGCGACTGGAAGGGCGGGGTTAGGGATTGGACTTTGGCCGACGTAGAGAACAATATTGACGGAGAGGCGTTGGTCAACGGGGTTGCTGGGTCGTAATATCGTGGCCACACGGACTGATGGGCGAACAAAAGTTCGGTCGTTGCATCGCAGTATGGAGTACACGGGAATGGATGATATTCCCTCAACGAGCTATTCTTGGACTGCCTGCCACTTCATGAAATTCTTGGCAGCATACACGGGTTACCTTTTCAGAAGGAGCTCAATGAATTGACCAGTCGCCATTTACTTATTCGCAAGGGGTATCCATCACGTGTGCGGCTGAGGATGCATACAATTCACTAGTTCGATCCTTCCGAGCACAGGTATAACAAAGCTAACCTCGACAGATTTTCATCAACCAGACATCCACATCACCAACTTTAAAAAGTGTTGGTTGCCACCATGAATTTCCTTAACAAAGCTCGCAAGAAAGCAGAGGAGGCCTTTAAAGAGATCCAAACTCAAGCGCAAGCACAAGCACAAGGCAGCGGCCAGTCTCGCCCTCAAAACGCCCATCAGCAAGCCCCTCACCCGTACCCGCAACAACACAGTCCACAACAATTTTCACCTCCTCAATTCCACCACCAACAACAACAAAACTATCCGCAGCCAGTTTCTCAAGTCCCACAGCAGCAACCATATGCCATTTCACAGCTTCCTCCCCAAGGCAGTCAGCAACCTTCCTTCCAGCAAGGGTACCCCGCCCCACAGCCAAATCAATACTATCCACCTCCTCTACAGGTCTTTGAAGGGGTCCCCTCTCCATTTGCTCCCGGTGTGTGTGCTCTTGAGCTCCCTTTCCCGCCTTAATGCACCATAAGTTGCTGCATCTTCAAGTTTCCAATTCGAGTAAAGGCTAATGCTTCATTGTTTAGGCCAGCAATACCCTCCGCCCCCACACCAGCCTTCAGCTCATGGAAACTACCAGCAGCTTCCCCAGGGCCATTCTGCTACTGTACCTCAACCCCACGAAGTTCCAGCTCCTGTTCCAACCCCTCAAGCGCGAGCACCGGCAACCATCGCCGCACCTCAAAATGCTACTAGTAAATGCCTTGCCAAAGAGTGGGTATTACCATCCCGCCACAGGTTCTACTGTTTTATCCCATCCCTTGGAGTTTCAGGAGAGTCATTTACCCTGTGCGCCAATTGTTTCCAATCAAATGTCGCCTCGTACACTCTTGCATCCAACTTTATAGAGTTTCACACTACGAATGAAAGCCTTCGCCTGGTGTGCGACTTCAGTATCCCCAGGATACGAAATACTTGGTTCTCCCAGTGTGTTCCTCGGAACTCAGTTCAGCCTCTGGTGGAATTCCCGCGGTTCGCCGAAAAGCTCAGCCCCTGTGATGGATCCACCATATCAAGTCCCGGTCCCTTTTGGATCACCAGAAATCAAATTATTCCCGATCTCGCTGTTTGCCAAACTTGCTTTGAGTTGTTTCTTCGCCTCACTTCATTCGAAGAACACTTCGAGAACAAAACCTACCTCGAGACTCGAGATTGGTCCTGTGATTTAGCATTTCCCTTCTTTAAGCGGGCCTTGATTGCAGAACTTGAGAAGACAAGCCCAAGTTTCCAGGACTTGGCTGATGAATTCAACCTACGGTTCAAAATGGCACCGTGCTCTGGAGTCGGAAACCCCATTTCCACTTTTGAAAACGACCAATCACAGTCTCTCGTGTTTACTGCCGTCGGAGGCAAATCAGGAAATATCTGTTTTGCGTGCTATTCCGACTGCCTCGCAAACACCTCCCTAGAAGACGAGTTTGTAGGAGCAGCATTGGGCGCTGATCAGAAGACCACGGTGACGTGTGATCTAGCATCTGGGTACTCGAAATCAGCAATGGAGATAGCAGTTCAGCAAAGTGACATCGAAGTTTGGAGAAGCGCTGTTGGTATGGCAGGAAAGGTTGGTGTGTGCTTTGGAAGGAAGGGGGTGACCGAGGAAGAATGGGAGAAGAAAGTGGCCGAGCATGGTTCGCTTGCTCAATGGTGGCACGTTAACAACTGCCCAAGCATTGAGATATGCCCTTCATGCTATTGGCTGATTGTCAAGCTTTTCAAGGCTGATAGCATGTTTTCCCCTATCACTCGACCCTTGCGAGGTGGTATTGTGCGGATGTGTTTTCTCGCCGTCTCAAGTACGCCATTGGATACATCACCTGAGAATCCCGACAATTTCGAAAATTCACTCATATGGAGAGGTCGGCGTTTAAGGGATGCAATAAGCACCGGATCCGAAACTGGTAACTTCTCGAAGCTTGAGTCGGAAGCTGCTTCAATATCGCAGGAATTCCCACCCTGTGGAGGCAACGACAGGGGCTTCAAGCGCCCAAGTGGCCGAAAGTGGTACGGGCGACTATCCCAGAACATGGCTAGCACCGATGATTGCACTGTTGTGATGTGTGAAGAATGCTGGTCGCGAACTGTCAGAGGGACTCCGTTGGAAAGTGCATTCAGCATGGATCTCACTGACGCCGCATATCAGCACGAGGGAGAAACTGGATACATGTGTCAACCATATTCCGATCGTGCTCGAATGGAGCTTCGCGGTGCTGCTCAACGAGCAAACTTAGCTTCTTTTGCGAGGTATTGGAACACGAGAGAAGCATTGCGGAAGAAGAGCCAACAGTGGCTCCCAATTTTACAACAGCAGGCCCTCAAGCAGCAAATGCAGAATCATCAGCAGAGCATGAACATGATGCTGAAAGTTAACGCCCAGGCAAACGCGCTGTCGAGAATTGGGGCTGCGGGCGTAGCTGAGGCTGCTATGAGCGACCCAGGTACTTATATTGACACCCCCCATCATCCCTCCTTTTCATTTCTCGAATCATTTGAATATCTTTTACTAGGTAAACTAACGTCTTCCAGGTGTCAGATATGGAAACTCTCAGGTGAGTCTGATTGTGATACGACAGTATTGGACATTTGCGCTGATAAGTGGAAGATCGGCTACGACTCATACACCAAGGGACGAGCGGAGGCGGAACAGGATTGGCAGAACGCTTCGAAGATGGATACTGGGCTCGGGGCAAGCATGTCGACAGCGGCAGAGTCGCAGAGGCTCATACAATTGGCGTCTATGGATGAAGCGGCATTTAAGGCTTATGAATGAATGTGTGGGTATTATGGCATGGCATTAAAATCTCTTCTCTCCTCTCCCTAGCATCCCCTCTTTTCGTCTTCGCATACGGATATCGGGGCATAAAGTCATGCGACTTCAGGGCATGCATGGCTGCGATACACTATTCGTCCATTACAGGTTCAGATTATACTTTGTATATACTATTATGTAGTGGAGGCAGACGCTAGAAATCCATAGGCTTAAGCCCTGTAAGGCGTTTCAGGGATTAAAAGACATTTCTAGGGTATGCCCCTGCAACTTTCGTACAAGGGCTTGATTACTAAAGTGCCCTATCCATTAGTAATAATAAGTTCTTGCAAATTACTTTATTATTATCTCTGTTATAATATTTATTATAGCCTCGAATATTACTTCTTTTTTTTATAGATAATTTATAATAATTATTATATTAATATATTCTTTATTTTATAAAAGCTCAATTATAAAGTTAATTAGAATCTTTACTAAATTTGACTTGAAATAAAAAGTGGCTTTAGATATTTTAAGGGCAATTTCTTTATATTTTATTTCTCTTATAAATATTATAGTTTTATATAAACTAGTATATTTGTTTTATAAGCCCAAGCTTATAAGTTTATATATTATAAGGCATTTTATATATAAATAAAAATAAAAATTCTTTTAAACTTAAAGTTTTAATTTTATAAAGTATAATTTAACTATTTTTATATTTTTTCCTATAATTATAAATTATTATAATTAATAAAAGTCGTAAACTTTTAATATAAAAGTTATTATTTCTAGGTTTTAAGGCCTAAAAGCGTTTTTATAAAGCCTAAAAATATTTAAAAAATGTCTTATATATATAAATCTATAAGCTTAAGCTTATTAATATATTTAGTTAAAAGAATTATTATATAAATAAAATACTTATAATATTTTATTTTAAATAATTATATTAAATCGAGTTATAAATTTATTAAATTAGTTTTATATAAAGCTTTTTTAAATCGGAAATATATTATTATTTTCCGAAAAGTAATTATTTAAACTAAAATAATAAATATTTTTTATTAATATTTTTATTTTTAAATTAAATAAAAATATTTATTTATTTTCTTATATTACCTTAATTATAGCCTAATATAGCTTGTTTTTCTTTTAAATATTATATTAAAGCTTTCTTAATATATTTTAAATATTATTTTTTATTTATTACTTTATTTATTATTAATATAACTTCTATTTTATTTTTGGCTTTTTAAATTTAATATAAAGAAATCTTCTTATTTTTTTTAAAGAGCTTTTATTTCGTTTTATTTACTTTTTTACTAATCTGTATTTATAAGTTAGGCCTTTATATTTTATTAGTTTCTAGACTAAATACTTTTTTCTTAATCTCGATTTTTTAGGCCAGGCTTAAGAAATTAAATAGGCTTTTTCTTAATTATTAAAATAGCTATATTATAAATTACCTATTTATATAACTAATTATATAATCTTATATTATAGATATAACTCGACTAGTAAACTAGTTCTAATTAGGCTTAGTAAATTTAGGAATTATATATTAATATTATAATATTATAATTCTTATTTCTAAATATTAATTATTTTACTAACTATTAGTATAGCTATAGTTATTAATAGTTATATAATATAGTTATATAATATAAAAGTAACTAGAAATAACGGGATATAAGTAATAATTATATAACCTTATATTATATAATAACTCGACTAGTAACTAGTTTCTATTAGGCTTAGTAGATTTAGGAATTATATATTAATACTATAATATTATAATTCTTACTTCTGGATAATAACTACTTTACTAACTTTATATAAATAGTATTTTATAACTATATAATAGTATTATATATTTCTAGTAAACTAATACTAATTAGTTTATATATATAAATTAGATAGTAAGAAGAATTAAGCTATATTTACTTAAGATTCGGTTTCTTGAAAGCAAAGCCATTATTCTATATTAAAAAGAAAATAACTATTAATTACCTTTATTTATAATTCGGGTTTATAAAAAGAGAAAAATACTTGATTTTACTAAGGCCCGATTAAGCTATATTAAAGGGAGAAGATAATAGTTGCCTTTGCCTATAATTCGATTATATAGAAAAAAAAAGATATTATTTTTTACTAATTACTAAATAGTTAGTTATTTAATTATCTAACTATCCTATAAAACCACTTTCTTTATAAAAAATCACTCTTTCTATAACTATTTAAATATCTGGGGCTCTTAAGCTTTAGAACTATTAAGTCCTCTCGAAATTTTAATATTTTATTTTTTAAATTCCATTTCCTAAATTTCTTATTATAAACGAAATTTTTACCTTAAATATAATAACTTCTATTTATTTACCTTATAAATTACTCTTTTTTCTATAAATCTATCCTTTTTATAAATTACTATACCTTAAACTAGATATAAGCCTATAAAATATATAATAATAGAACTTACTATATAGATAATTCCTTTATTAAATCTATCTAATCTAATTACTTTATATCTATAAAGAATAATAATTTCAAGGAAATAGTAATAAAATAAAAATATAGAATTAATCTAGATATTATTATAGTATAAGAGATATTAGAATTTTTAGATATTAAACTATTTTAATACATTTTCTACAAAATAGTTAATAATAATCTTTAGGAACTATTTAAATATAACTTTAAGAACTTTATTTATTAAAGGAATTTTAATAAGCTTGAATTACTAGAAATACTATATTTATATAAGATCTTTTAGTATAGTAATATATATATATAATAAAATACTAATACTTTTATTATTATAACTATTTTACTTTCTATTATTAAGGAAAATATATAATATATCTAGATAAATAAGAATCTATTAATAGCTAGACTAAATCTTATAAAAAGACTAATTCTATTAGGCTTTATTACTTTTATAAAAAACAAGTATCTAGAATTTATTATTTTTAATATTCTTATATTACTATTATTATTTTCTTTTCTATTATTATATTCTATACTTCTACTAGATTTATATACTAGTATAGAAGCTCTAGAAGCAAATAGTATACTTCTATTAGTCCTACTACTATTACTATAACTATATCCGAATAATCCCCAATTCCCTTTAATTATAAGACTTATTAGAGAAGTTACCAAGATTTATACTAAAGAATAAAAGTATAATAGAACTAATAATAATTTTGATTATAAACTTACTATTTTCCTTAATATCTACTAATATATAGAGCTTCTATAAGAGGTACTAATATAAGATTTTCCTATTATATTAAAGAAACTAGCTTAAGACTATTTCTATAGTAACCAGTTTTCTTAATATATATATAAAAAGGCTTATATTAATATCTATAGCTTCTTTAAAGGCCCTGAATTCGAATATCGAAATTTAGATAAGTAGAATACTATTATATTAGCTTCTATAATAGCTAAATTTCTGGAAAAGATAACGTTTGAGACTATTTAACTATTAATTAATAAACTATATTAACTATAGTACGGTTTTATATCCAACTTATAAAATACCGAATTCCTTTATAATAAAATTATTACCTCTTATTAAAGCTTCCGGATATATAAATATATAATCTCAGATTCTCCTGTAAATTTCGGCTAGCTTATTAATAAACTCTAGTTATCTATTATTATATATAAAAGTAAATAATAAGCCAATTCCGAAATCTTTTTTACTAATTAATAATATTATTCTTAGAACTCTCTAAACTATTACTCCTCCGGAAATTATTAATACGGACCCAGCTATAACTTCGGAACCTGTAATAACTATTTCAAATCCTGTAATTATAATAATTATATCCTGAAGTTATATTTTATATATAAGAAACCTGAATACTACTTATAGAAATATATACCAGAGGAATAAGAGGCTAAGAAGATTCGATTTAGGAGTAGAAATATCTATTAGTTTAAATCCCGGAATACCTGTAATTTTAATAAATGCTTTAGTAATACTTATATATAGTATATTACTAAAGCCGAAGGTAAAGAGAGTAATAAGAATAGTAAGAACGAACTAGTAAATAATGCTTTTAAAGCTTTATTAGCAGAAATAGACAAAAAAGAGAAATATTATTCAGATTTCTATTTTACTTTAATTGAGAGCTTTTTAGCTACTCTTACTACTTCTATTCTACTAATAACTATAGCTAATATCCTTATAGATAACCTTACTTTCCTTTTCTTTATATATTAGATAATAGGCGAAAACTATATTTTAGAGCCTATTAAACCCTTAATAGAAAATATCTAGACTTTTATAATTAATAGTATATTAAGATATAATACTTACTACTTTTATAAAATCGTAATTAATACCAGAGCTTCTAGATACTTAACTACTGTTTCTAACTAATTCCAAGCTCTCTAGTAGACTAATAATAGTATTAAACTTAATAAAACTACTAAAGGTTAAATTAATATCTAGTTTAGTATTAGATCTATATTTTCTATTAGATCTATAATAGTAAATATACTAATTAGGTAAATACAATTCTATATTATACTTTTAAAGACTCTATTTTTATTTAGCTTAGCTAATATAGATAAGCTAGGGGTCTATTTTAATAATCTTACTAATTATCTTATTACTTTTACCAGAAAATATATACCTATAATATAATATTTCAAATACTTTTTCCTGCTTTAAAATACTATATTATAAGGCTTTATTTCCGAATTTTTTACTTATAACTTCTGCTTTCTTATAAAGGTCGAATTATAATATCTATACTATTATTTTGGTTATTTATCTATTAGTAAGCTCCGAAATATACTAAAATAAGTAGGCTATAATATTAATATAGAAGCTTTCGAATACCTTACGAAATACTATAAATAATACCAGAAATATAGCCAATTATCCGGATAATTCAAGTTTACCTAAGAAATAATATTAGCTTTAACTATTCTATTATTATTAATATTTTCTATATTTCCGGTAAGTCTATATTCTATATTATTAATAAAGGTACTCGATATTAAGC